CTGATCCCCCAGCTGTCAGACACACTGTCATTGCCAGTCTGAGATGTCAGCTCTTCTTGGGAACTGCCCTGGCTATAGAGCAGCCTCACCCAAGAACACCCAATGACAAATCCATTCTAGAGAACAAACGCGCAGCTGCTTTGCCCAAACTCAGGCCAACTCTTCAGGGTCACTGAGTTTCATAGCTCTTCATGGGTTCAGCTGAGGACTTGCAGTGTTTGTAACATAGCCCAGTCTTTCCTTCCTTCCTTCCTTCCTTCCTTCCTTCCTTCCTTCCTTCCTTCCTTCCTTCCTTCCTTCCTCCTCCCTCCCTCCCTCCCTCCCTCCCTCCCTCCCTCCCTCTCTTCTTTCCTTCCGCCAATAGCATGCTGGGGAAACCTGACCTGCAATAACTGGCTACCCCAGCCAACAGGTAGAAAGGTCTCAGGCAGATCCCCAGAGGAGCAGAGCTGGGCACACAGGTACCTACAGTAGCAAAGTCCAGAGCACAGGGGCTCTGGGAGATGTGCCGGTGGACAGCCCTTGAGTGTTCCTGACAAAAGGGAAGTAGGTTGTGTCCCATCCAGTGGGAAGGTACCTGCATGGGAGGGAAGTCCGGGCTTCTCACTAGCTCTGAGTGAGGTCACTAGACCCCCCTCGAGATCCCTTCTTCTCCCTCCCAAACAAGCCAAGAAGAATCCCACCTCCAACTCTCTGTTTGTCAAGTGGTCTCCATCTTGGTGGCGTTAATATGGATTTTTCTGGGTAGCCGTCCACCGGGTAAGACCTAGACTTTATCTAAAAGCCCCCTTTACCACCAAACACTTCAACTTCTTGGACTCAGGTTCTCCCAGGAAGTCTGATTTCCCATGATCACATGATTTCCTTGGATAAGAAGCCCCTGTTAAAATACAACATACTGTAGATGAACTTGAGATAACACCTCAAGTCAGTTATTAAGGCATAAATTAGCCAGCAGAGGGAAGAGAAAGAAATTAAAGGCTTAGGTGGAGAACTGGCCAGAAAAGCTCTACATGGGGAGACGGTGCTGTGGTGTAGCAGGCTGAGCCTTCCTCTGCAGCGCCAGCACCCCATATGTCCCAGCTGCTCCTCTTCCAATCCATCTCTCTGCTAATGGCTCAGGAAGGCAGTAGAAGATGGCCCAAATCCTTGGGCCCTTGCACCCACATGGGAGACCTGGAGGAAGCTTCTGGTTCCTGGCTTCAGATTGGCCCAGCTCCAGCTGTTGTGGCCATCTGGGGAGTGAACCCTTGCTTTGTCTGTAACTCTACTTCTCAAATAAATAAATTAATCTTAAAAAAAAAAAAAAAGAAAGCTCTTGATGGGAAGCAAGATGTGGTGATGGTAGCCAGGTCAATCCAAGAGTGCCTCCTACTTCAGCAAGCATGTTGCTTTTAGAATAAGAGGAACAAAATCCTCAAATCCAACCATTTGCTTCCCAATGAAGCCAAGATCTGGTTGTGCCCCTAACAGGAGCTCCTCTACCTTGCGATGCCAGGACATGCCTGTCTTTGCCTTGATTTCTATCAGGCTAAGATGCTGGGGCTGCAGAGGGCAGGAAAGATGCTCATTCATAGTAGAATTACAAATTTTCCGAGAAGGTCTATGACTTGCTATAAGCTCTTGCAGGCAGGCAGCAGCTATACAGACTGTTTTTACTCTTTGGCAGGTGCAACCCATCCAAGCAACCATTTTAATTCCTTGGTCTCCTTCAAGTAAACTATTGCTCACCTCTAACAAAGGGAGCCAGTGGCATTGCCAGCCAGAGACCAGCAAGATGAGCACCTCATTACCCAATTCCACACAGCCCAGGGCGCCCAGGCCTTCAGCTGGCTGCTGGGGACTGAGCTGTCACCTGTGGGTCTGTTCTCCCCTTGGCTACGTACTTTTCTCTACTAGCTGCTCCAACTGTTTCCCAAGTGTTGCTCTGCCTAGAAACTCCACTCTCGTCTTGTGCTTACTCTCTACCCATACTGGAGATGGTGAGCAGGCATTAACACAACCTCTGTAGTGTTGAGGCCAAAAGGCTAATGTAGATGTCCGGCCTTCTGTGAGCTGGGGGCAAGACTCAGGTTCTGTCACTTTGATGCATGAGTGTGCAGTTGCACAGGAGACACGAGGCAGGCCCCGTATTTCTGCTGCCCCAGCTGTTGCCAATACTGCTACTGGAAGCTGGGATGCCGAGTGCCAGGGTCAGTTCCCACTGGAGCTGGGCTCTCAAGCCCACAGCATGCAGTGGCCATGTCTCCTTGACCATGGCAGGCCTGGGCATCCTGCTCCCCTCCTTCCTGTGTGGGGCAAAGGTTGCAGTCCCTCATCAGGGCCAGCCCTGTGATGATGTCCCAGGAGTTTTCCTAGAATGTTCTTCCAGCATACTGATGACTTGGGGAGAACCCAATTCCTCCCCCTCATTTTTCTGTCAGTTTAAAACAACTTGGGGCGGGCATTTGGCACAGCAATTAAGATGCCGCTTGGGATGTCTGCATCCCATACGGGAGTGCCTGGGCTCAAGTCCTGGCTCCACTCCCAATTCCAGTTTCCTGCTAATGCACACCATGGGATGCAGAAGGTGATGGCTCAGGCACTTGAGTCCCTGCCACTCATGTGGGAGACTCAGATTGAGTTTCTGGTTCCTGGCTTCAGCCTAGTCCAGCCTAGACTGTTACAGGCATTTGGGAAATAAACCAACTGATGGAAGATCTCTCTCTTTCTCTGCCTTTGCCTTTTAAGTAAATTTTAAATATTAACTAAATGAATTAATTGAAGATACCTTGATGTTTTCTGCAGTGGGACCCCTTCTTATAGATTTCCACATCCTTTTGCATCATAAAATCACCTTTCGAGGACATTTAAAACATTTCCCTGGAGCTGCCACTGGAATGAGAGCTGAGGGCTGTGATGGCTGGGGTAGAGCCTTGATATTGCCTCCTCTGGGATGCATCAGCCATCCTGTCTAATATTTCAAACCTATTGCATACAGGTAGCATCTGACCCCAGTGGCATGCCAGAACTGCTTATCACATATGGGTGCTCCTTGACATACTATGGGTTACCTGCTGATAAACTCACTGAAAGTTCAAATTGTCCTCAGTAAAAAAAAAAATGCATTTAATATACCCAACCTGGGGCTAGCATTGTGGTACAGCCAGGTAAGCTGCTGCTTGTGACTCCAGCATCCCATATCGGAGTGCCAGTTCAAGTCCCAGATCCTTAGCTTCCTGCCAAACACCCTCGCTTAGTTCCTATGAACGCGTATTACTTTTACACCATCAGAAAGTACAAAAACCCTGAAGTCAAACAATTATAAGTCAGGGGCCATGTGTACGTCCCAGTGTGGAGAAACTTAAGGGCAGCGCCTTGTGCTTCGGAGGGTCAGCATTTATTTTCAGCATCATCATTCAAACAAGTACGCTCATGTTTTTGAGATCACATGAGCTTCTCAAAGACAAACACATTTTTAAAAAATGTGTTGGATTGAAGCAGACTTCCCCTAAAGTCACCTGTTTTGGAATATTTATGCCTGTCTGTGAAAGGTGAACCATTTTTTTTTTTTAATTATCACTCTCCTTCCATTGTTCCAGGTCACTCAGTGACATGGCGTTCCTAAGGTATTAAGTGAGTACTATAAGTCACACTTCTGTGTTTTTAAAAAATCTGCAATGTTCTCTTTTTAATATTAATAGGGAAACCTTTGACCTATTTCCTCATCACTATAAAAGTATGCTTAGAATCTAATATGAAATCTGTGAGTATGAATCTTGAAATAGATTCAGAATCCTATCATAGTTCAGTGCCTGAGCATCAGAAAAAGTTTTCCACACTAAGTAAGCATCTGGGAAGAATGTTCCCTCTTGGTCATCAGGAATTAACTGGGAACTTCAAATACCCAATTTTCAATCACAGCTTGTTTTTCAAATCCATTCATGTATTTGGCTTAAGAAATATTTTTATAAGAAAAATTAACACTGGATACTTTAACCTAGTAGAAAGAAACAGATTTGCCTAGAGCCTCTGGAATTTTATAAAACTAAATTATCAAGTCGTTTTATGGAAAAGGAAAAAATATATAAATATATCGTTCTCAACACAAATATCAAGCTCAACTGTACGGAAGATTATTAGAAATTCAAATTAGGTAGGATGTCTCTGTTTTGAATAGAGCCATTAAAAATCCATTTAAAGCTTTTGTGGCAAATAATGGATTAGTAGAATATATTTAAGAAATCAAGTGTCATTTTCAAGTTAAGATGTCTCAAATTGTAGCAAGTTTACCCAGCTACATTTGGCTTATAACTTACTGCAGAACTTTCTTATTTGTAATTAAAGAAACATTTTAGGGTAACAGGAAAGAAATATTTTTCATAAAACCTAGGAGGATCTTCGAGACCAGTTACAATCCTCGTGTCATCCCCGTGGTCTCAAGTGATTTCGAGGGTTCACTGCAAGTCCCAGGACGTATGTAACTTGACAGGAGGTGCCACATTGCCACGCCACCTCTGGGATAGTCTGTTGGGATGAGGATTTTTGCACTTTGCACATACCACTGAACATATGCGTGTGCTTTGTCATGTGAAATCAGCAAATCGCTCTGTTAGATGTGTCATTGTTTCCATGGCGTATTGAGGAGTTATGAAATCAGGAACAAATCCAACTTTTCAACATTTGCTATGGATTAAAAGAAGCCCGTGTTCAAATGAATCGCAACCCATAGCCATGGCTCCTGCTGAGTTTCTAGGAACAGGCGGAAAACCAGAAATGCAGGACCTTGACACTCTCTATGGAGTGTAAGGTCAGCAAGGTTCTAGGCACGAAAGGTACAATTTCGAAATTGAAATCCTTTTAGCAATAATCTGTCACTGTGACGCATTCCAAGTAGTCTTGGCAAAATCGGTCATTAAAAGCAGAAATCATTTCGGTGCACTTGTGAATCCCACAAACACTTGGTAAACAAGCATTCCGAGAGGCTGCCTCCCCTCGGCTCGGAGGCCCCACTGACTTACATCGTATCCGCTGTTCCGGATTCCGCGCCGGGGTCGCTCCCGCGTCACCAGCAGGTCCATCTCAGTCTCGCCTGGGCTCGGGCTGTTCAGAGACTGCCGGCTTCGGTAGACAGAGTTCTTCATCTGTTGCCTGAAGAAAATCCAACAACTGTTATGATGCAGCAAATACCCTGACAGATGGAATTCTCCACTGATCCAAACCACAGGCAACCAATGAAGGCTTTGGATTTGTCTCATAAATCTCAGAATTGATGGTATTTGTTCCCCAGCCATAAGGGGCCGTAGAAAGAATGGAATAAAGACTTTTTCCCCCCTGGATGCTGTAACCATTTGGCTGGATGCTAAGGAGTTTTTCCTATAGAAAATAGGTAACTACAACCGATCACAACACTGCAGCCTCATCTGAAATTCTGCTGATGGCCAGGTCAGGGGTTCCCTCTTGACCCCTACGACAGCTCATGCTGGCACAATATGCTTGTCTTGTTGGCTCTGCTCATGCAGCAGCGTCTTGTTCCTTTTAAGCTTCCGGATTTCACACCCAGGATCCTATGATGTGTTAATAAACCCTGCAGTGAGTGGGCTGCTTCATACGATGACTGTTGATGGATTTCTTTTCCACCATTGCCACAGCGGATTGCCTTCTGGACTAAGAAAGCATAACTCAGAGGCAATTCGGGGCCTGTCCGTCCATCCCTCCCTCCCTTACTGAGTGCCTACTATGTGTCTGGCACTGTGGAGGAAGAGGAACAAGACAGACACGGCCCCTGCTGTCCCACAGCTCACAGCCTAGTGAGCAACACAATTGACATGACCATCTCAGAGGTCTAAGTGCCATCAAGAAAAACAAAGAGCTACAACCGAGGTCGGCCAGAATGGGGGACAGTTTCAGTTAGGGTGGTCAAGGAAGGCTTCCCGGGGGAAGTGACATCTCTGCTGAGTCCCAACCAGAGCCACAGACACGCTGATCCAGGCTCAGGGCATTTCCGGCCCAGGGGGCATCGTGCATGGAGGCTCCACTCAGCCACGGCTAGGAAACCTGTACGCGTGTCACACGGCCTTGTGTCCACTTGTCATTAGAGGGATCATTTTGATGAGTGGGAAAGAAACAGCAACATGAGATCATGGCTGTGCTTCTCTTCTTCAGCTTTCATGAGTGGGCAGTGAGGTCCGATGGCACGAGGGACGTTCCCATGGTCCTGCCGGTGGGACGATTTCCCTCTCCTCCAAATGGCTCTCTGAAGAATCTGCATTCTAGACCCTCTATCTGGAGCAAACACCCCAAGCCCCACCTGTTTTACGTCTCAGTTCTAGGGTGCTAGCTACTGATGGGGTGAAGGTGAAGAGATCGCTCTGTTTAGTCCCAGGGACTATGGGAAGTCAGAAACCCGGCAGGCATCTGTACTGTGTCATGAACACACACTAAGCTAGTCATGGCATTGCAGCCACACGCAGTCCAGAGCAGACGCTGGCTTTCCAAGTCACAGCATGATCCTTGCAATAAGCCTCGGGAACAAAACACACTATCAGATCCACTCTTCCACCATGAGAAGCGTTTACCTACTTAGAGAGCATCTTTTGTCTTTGCTTGGCAGGTAGCCATGCTAATGTTTCCGTAAGAGCTCCATGCTAAGAGCCAGCTCTGTAGCGTAGTGGGTAAAGCCGCCGCCTGCAGTGCTGGCATGCCATGTGGGCGCCAGTTCGATTCCCGGCTGCACTACTTCTGATCCAGTTCTCTGCTATGGCCTTGGAAAGCAGTGGAAGATGGCCCAAGTCTTTGGGCCCCTGTAGCCACACGAGAGACCTAGAAGAAGCTCCTGGCTTCTGATCAGCCCAGCTCTGGCCATTGCAGTCTTTTTTTTTTTTTTTTTTTTTTTTTTTTTTTTTTTTAAGAGAGAGCACCATGCTATTCCTCAGGGGCTACCTTTCCTTCAGAGGTAGGCATGTGACTCAGGTTGGACCAATCACAGCATCACATCCCCACAGCCACAGTGACTGGTCGGGGGAGGGTATATAATCTAGTTGGTCCAATGAGTCTGAGTCTCTAGCCTGTTGCTATGGCAATTAGGAAAGAGGTATTCTACAGGCACTGATATTTCTAAGCAGATAGGATATAAGCCTGAGTTGCTGGCAGCCAGTTTGCCACAATGAGGTAAGAGCCTGCCTGAAAATGTGGTCAGCAAAGAGTGAGGAGAGGATAAGATCGGGTCCAGGAGATACTGTGTGACCCCCTGGTCTGCTATGCCGCGGCCTTGCCTTTTCAGTAATGCTCAGAAATGCAGGCCCCTTTTACTGCACCAGTTTGTGCTGGACTTCAATCATTTGCAACCAAAGCATCTAACATGGGTGCTCACAACCTGATCTATAAACTGCGCTCTACAGTTGTCTACAGTTAAAGTCTTCCTTTAGGAAGAAACACCACCTCCGCCAGCCTGTGAAACAGCAGCTGTTCTGAGTGACTCACACGTGAAGGCAGACCCCAAACAATTCACATCCTTGACCTGATTACAAACCATTTTTTTTTTTTTGAAAAAGCAGCCATCACAACTGTCCTTGCATTGCCAATCAGCCCATTTAGAAAAGTTGTACTGATAAAGGGTGACGGTGGAGTAAATACTAGGATTAGGTCCTCTTGTCAGTATCAGTGAGATTGTGTAAGACCTTATTGGATCAGGAGCACAGACACGGTGTACTTCTCCCCCAGGGACAACGTTCTACTGTGTACACAGCTTAAAGCTGCCAACACGGGCCGGCCCAGCAGTGTGCACTTGGCGTGTGGGCATCCACCTAGAAATAAGTGAGGCTGTCAGGCAGAGCTGCTACTCATTGGAACCACATAGAGTTTCATCAGGTGTAGTTCTTTCTCCACGGTATTTTGCTATATTTTGGAAAGCGAATGAATTTTGAAACATGCAAACCTGAGCAGCTTTTCCCTCCTGAAAACACTGCTGGGTAGCTAATGATGAGCTTTTTACTTGGAGTTTTAGGGGCTTTTAAATCTCAGGACATTGTAAGGAAAGGAGTTCTCCAGTTGTGTTCTGTGCAGCCCTGGGGCTTCATAGAGATGGCCCGGAACACTGTGGTGAGGAAGAGGCCCGGCTGCCATCAGAGCAATGGGCTTTATGCTGGCATGAGAGCAGGTGGTTTGTCCAGGGGGTGGATCTAGGAATCCTCTAGACCCCCTAGCTGGCAAGCAGGGTAGGAGGGGAAGGGAAGCATGGCGATCAAGGTAGAGTGTGGAGCTGGCTAGGATTTGGGCCAACTGGGGCTCAAACTCACTGGAGAAGTGTGGGAGACAGTTGCTTCAAAGTGCACATTTTATTTTTATTCAGGCTGGCAAGGTCAGCACACCAGCGATGACTGCTATTGAAAAGACAGCTCCCAAGAGGAAAGGCCAGGCCTTGCCAGAGGGGCTCCCACGGGGAAGCACAGGCTCATCCATCCAGAGGCACAGACAGAGGGAAATGAGGGCACAAGCTTTCACTGTAACTTCTGTGCGGAGACACAGGCAGGCAGGGGCTGAGGTGCTGTCCCTAGTTACCTGGTACCTGACTTTGGGGCAGGTGCACCAGAGCCCAGAGGTGAGAGCCCTGGGACAGCACACACAGCAGGCAGTCTGCTCACAGGCCTGGATGGGCCGGTGTGCACAGGACAGGCTTTGGCAGGCGAGTCCTTTGCTATCCTCAGGAACTGAGGGGCCCTCAGGATTGGGGAGTTCCTCCAGCGTCAGTGAGGTCTTCAGTGTCAAATCATCAAATCCAGAAACTAGGAAATGCGGCTATTACAAAGGTGGGGCTTGCACCTCAGAGCTCCCTTGCGGGGGTATTTATCCATCTGATGCCGGTCTGCTGTACACAGAGGATGCTCCACAGAGGCCCCCAGGGAGAGTCCTAGGAGCTTGGAGGAAGTCGGATGCACTGTCTGTACAGGTGCAGTGAGAGCTGAGCAGAGACACGGGCCCCTGATGACAGCACCCTCCTGTTACGTTATGTGCTCTTTTCTTTAGCTAAGTGATTACAACATAAAAGTAGGCATTCTATAAAGAGCTGTGAAACTACGTCAAACAGTTAAGCAAAGAGCCCTCACTTGGAATCTAAACTTTGCATCTTATTCGAGTAGCTCAAAGGGTAACATTCTGGGTCCTGATGCTACCTCTGGGCAGAGAATAATTCCCTCGCTCTGGCCCCATTATGTGGGAGCAGAGCCTCTGGGGAGCTGTACCGTGAGCAGCAAGTGAAGGGAACTCTAACCTATGATAACAGGTAGGTCACCTACAGAATGTAGCAAGAATAATACCCCCAGCTCCCTGAGATTCTGCCCCTCCTTTCCCATCAGTCTTTCTATCTCTCCACTGACCACTGATCCTGTCTCCAGTCCTATCCCCAGCAAACCCAGTTTGTAGCTACCCATCTTGTCTCCTCAATTGGTCAGAACTTAAAAACAATTAGCTTTGAGGCCAGTGCTGTGGTACAGTGGGTTAAGCCATGGTCTGCAGTGCCGGCATCCCACATGGGTGCCGGTTCGGGTTCCTGCTCCTCCACTTCTGATCCAGCTCTGTGATAATGGCCTGGGAAAGCAACAGAAGATGGCCTAAGTCGTTGGGCCCTTGCACCTTTGTGAAGCTCCTGGCTCCTGGCTTTGGCCTGGCACAGACCTAGCCATTGCCACCATTAGGGGAGTGAATCAGTAGACAGAAGACTCTCTCTCTCTCCTCTCCCTCTCTCTGTAACTCTGCCTTTCAAATAAATAAATAAATATTAAAAAATTTTAGTTTTGGTGCTTTAACAGCATTAAATCATTTTTTTCAATAGACATTCACTGAGAATTAGCTACATACATACAGCATTAACAGGGCTTAAGAATCTGGCCTGCGGCGCCGTGGCTCAAAAGGTTAATCCTCCGCCTGTGTCACCGGCACCCTGGGTTCTAGACCCAGTTGGGGCACCAGATTTTGTTCTGGTTGCCCCTCTTCCAGTCCAACTCTCTGCTATGGCCTGGGAAGGCAGTGGAGGATGGCCCAAGTCCTTGGGCCCTGCACTCCATGGGAGACCATGAGAAGCACCTGGCTCTTGGCTTCAGATCAGCGTGGTAGGCCAGCAGCAGCGGCTATTGGGGGGGTGAGCCAACGGAAAAGGAAGACCTTTCTGTCTCTCTCTCACTGTCCACTCTGCCTGTCAAAAAAAAAAAAAAAAAAAAGAATCTAGCCTGGGTGGATGCTTGGTGCAGTGGTTAAGAAGCTACTTGTCTCATATTATTAGAATGCCTGGGTTCAAGTCCTGGCTACCCACTTTTTTAAAAAAAGATTTTATTTATTTATTTGAGATGTAGAGTTACAGACAGAGAGAGGGAGAGACAGATAGAAAGGTCTTCCATCCTCTGGTTCACTTCCCAAATGGCTGCAATGGCCAGAGCTGGGCTGATCCAAAGCCAGGAGCCAGGAGCCAGGAGCCAGGAGCGGGGAGCCGGGAGCTTCTTCTGGGTCTCCCATGTAGGTGCAGGGGCCCAAGCACTTCCACTGCTTTCTAAGGTCATAGCAGAGAGAGGATAGAAAGAAGAGCAGCTAGGACACAACCCAGTGCCCATATGGGATACCAGAGGCTCAGGTAGAGGCTTAGCCTACTTATGCCACAGTGTTGGCCCCCTCACTTATTTTTTTGAAAGGCAGAGTGATAGACAGACAGACAGACACACACAGACAGACAGACAAAGAGAGAGAGAGAGACTCTTCCATCCACTGGTTCACTCCCCAAGTGGTCACATATCTAGGGCTGAGCTGGGCTGAAGAAGCTTAGAACTCCATCTGGGTCTCCAACACGGGTAACAGGGGTCCAAGTTCTTGGGCCATCTTCCACTTCTTTCCTAGGTGCATTAGCAGGGAGCTGGATTGGAGGCCGTGCAGCTAGGACTTGAACTGGTGCTCTGAAATGGGATGCCAGCATCGTAGACAGTGGCTTACCCCGTTGCAGCACAACACAGCCCCTGCTATTCCACTTCTGATCTGCTTCCTGCTTACATACACCCCGGGAAGCAGCAGGTGCAAGTACTTGGATCCCTGCCACTCATGCAGGAGACCTGGATTGACTCCAGACTCCTGGCTTAGGCCAGGTCCAGCCCTAACTGTTGTGGGCATTTAGGGAGTGAATGAGCAGATGGAAGATCTCTATGTCTCTCTGTCTGCCTTTCAAATAAATGAAAAAAAAATCTGATATGCAGGTATGCTTGGGAGTAGAGCTGCAACTCCCCAGGAATAAGTTTTGTTCTTTCTTTGTTCAGGCTCTTTTCATAAAAAGCCTTAAATGAAAAATTTTGTTTCTCAAGTAACTTTCAAGTGATGCTCCTCTTATTTGTATGCAATGTGGCATTTGTTTTCCCTAAATGTCAGCAGGAAACTGAGGGAAAATAGTTCCCACCATAGTCGACAAAGACCACTGAGGTCAAAAGCCCCAAAGTGCAAAGAAAATGCTGAAGAAGCCACCAGCCTCCCAAGAAAACCCAGCTCTTTTCTTCTGCAGCTATTAACACAGTGACACATGGACTGTGAACCCTTCACAGTGTCATTTTATATCAGTAGCTTGTCAGACCAACCAAGACTAATCGGAAGCACAGTAAATTAAGAACAGGCTTTGAATCTCCACTTTTGTTCGCTGAAAATAAATCATGTTAATTTAATTAATAAAACATGGCCCCAGTTTGATTTTGGGACTCCCACGCAAGCTTGTCATAGTCATCTTTGCTTTCAATGAAGACCTATTCAGGCCAGGGAATGGCCTGTGGCTCCCAGTCTAAGGGGATGTGCCTGCCTGTGATGGCTTCGTGGTGGCTCAAAGCCAGGGGACGGGCACCAAGGAGCATGTGCTTTGGAAAAAAGTGGTGTCAGGCCATGAAAATGTCTGAGGTAGGTAGGAAAGGAGGAAAAGTGGACAAGTTTGACCATGCTAACCTAGAGTCTGCTTAGTCAGCCACAAAGCTTGGAAGGAGGCTGCTGCGGTTTGACTAGTTTTCCTCTACAAAACCCATGTGAAGCTTGGGTGTCATTGGTAGTGTTTAGAGGCAGCACCTTCGGGAGACGATGGAACCTGGGTGAGTTCAGCCCCCTTGTGCTCTCTTTGTCTGGCTGCCTTTACCGTGGGATAACGGAGAAGATGGCCATTGCAAGACACTGGTGCTTTGACCTTGGGATTCCCAGCCTACAGAAGTGTGAAAAAATACATTTCTGTTTATTATAAATTACCCAGTCTTGGGGTGATTCTGTGACAGCAGCACAAAACAGACTGAGGCAGATGTCAGTTCAAACCACCATGCCCAGCCCTTCCTTCCTCACTAACCCAGGCCTCCCTCGCCCCCTTTTAGATTGTAGCTCCTCATGCTTCAAGACCAACCGCACTAGCGATGAACACATTTTGGGGGTGATCATCTTTCCTCCCCATCAGAACTCAGTTTGACAAGAACAGCGACCAGGCTGCTCACCATAAAACATGGATGCGATTGAAAGAATAAATGCACACAGGATCCCGACGGCCTGCAGGATGCTGCATGATGTCTCATCTACAGCAGGTGACAGCAACTACAGAGTAAGCAGACGCATCTATGAATGAGGAGAGACGAGCAGCTTGCAGTGTGCTGACTGAAGCCAAATGAAAAGAGGAGGCGTGACACTTGCTTTTCTTACGCAAGAGCTGCTAACACATAACTGAAAAAACGCAATTGTCCCTTGATCTGGACATTGCATAACCATGTGGCTGATAATTATATCTCCACCCAGCTCTGAGACAGCTTCTGATTTGGAAATACCGTGACGGGAAAGGACAGTTATTTGTCCAGGATTTTTTTTTTTTTCAGGGTTTCAATTTTAGTTTCTTCCAGACTCATCACGGAGCACCTGCTTGCACAGACCAGCGAGACCCACATCAGCAACCTGCACAGGTCACAGTCCTAGGGATCCACAGCAGAGGACCGGGGCTGTGTTGCCCAAAGCGCCCTCTGTGCCCATCCCGACCATGCAACAGTGACCTTCAGAGAATCCCCTGGAGACTGCACCTGTTTTTAGGCTCCGCAAATGGAGCACACAGTTCCGGGTCTGGTTCCAAAACATGCTCAATTTCCTTTGGGCCTGTTTCATACATCTTCTTTCTTTCGGTCAGGCCCTTGTTGGCCTCCACGGGGGGGAAGTCGTAATAGCCCTTCCTCTTGGCCTTGAGGCGCAGTTTGTTCCGGTAGTGCTCGATGTCTGACTTCTGCTTCAGTGCTTTGTTGACCTGTGGGGAGAGACAGTCTCAGGCCCGCAGCGGACAGGTGGAAACTCTCGCCAGAAGCTCCTAGGCCGCACTTCCGGTCCTCCGAGCCAGCCCCAGCCAGACCCACCTGTGCCCCATTCCAACACCAGCCCCCACCCAACGTGGAGGCTGGCGCTCACCTAAGTCACCTGAGAACCTCCCCAGGGGCCTCCTCTCTGAGTCTGACCCTGCCCAGGCCTAGCCTGGACTCCACGCACGTTTCCAGGCTAGCAGCCTCAGCCTTCCTTCTGCCTGAGGAGCCCAATGGCGCCCCCTGGCCAACTTTAGCTGGTACTCATGGAGAGGAGGCCATTGGTCCTGAAGAGGGGGCTGGGATGATCGGGGTGGGGAGGGAAGCAGGTACCAGCTCCCAGCACGGGAGAGCAGGGTTTTGTAAATCTAGGTGCTTCTTGAGAGTCAGGTCGTTTCGAAGCCTTGTACAGCCAGTGAGGCCAACCAGGTTCTGCTCCTCAGGGCAAAGCCAGGCTGGTCTTTCAGAAAGGAACGTGGCTAGCGGACCTTCTGGCCTGCCAAAGACACAAGCAGCTGACTATGCTAAACACGGAGCAAATGATGAGGGGTCACACTCACACACTGGAACCTTCTATGCTGCTCTGCTCCCTTCAAAACAATCCTTAAAAGACTTCCTTGTAATTCACAAAAGCAGAATTTATGGCTCTGGGGTTACGCTTTCTTCACTCCACCCAGCCACCCATAAGAGAAGCAGAGAAAATCACACATCAATCCGGGTCAAGCTCCACAGGGCAGCAAATCACAGAGGGCAGCTCAGGGCTGCCTTCCGGTCCAAATGCCAGCAAGCCCCTCTTGGTTTCAACTACTGACATGCAGCAAGTATCCATTTTGGACAGGAAACGCCCATCTGTCATCCTTCTGTGACGAGGTGAAGGGCTGGGGGGAAAGGGGCAGTGCGCTGAGCCTGTCCCGGCCGGGAATCTGTCTCCAGGCCACATGCCATCAAGCGGGGTGCAGTGGGCAGACCCAGGTGCGGTGGGCAGAACAGTAATCAGTGCGTCAGTGCCAACCTCAGAGGCTCTGAGTAGCTGGACTGCACATCAGGGAGCAGAACTGTGCCCCAGGAAAGCTCCCGTGGCTGGGAGTGTTCTCAGACCACGTCCAGGTCCTCACGTTATATTCCCAAGGGCCATAAGGGACGTGTGATCAACTAATCCTCCCTCACTGGCTCGCTAATTGCTTATAACAATAAAAAAGTGTTTATTATATGCTATGCATTGTCATAAGTGCTCTGTGTGTATAAACCAATTTGATCCTCATAGCAGCCCCATTGTATGGATGGAGATACTGAGGCTCAGAGAAATTAGCTAACCTAAGTCATACAGATAGAAAGTTTGGGTTAAAAACCTTGCAGCATGGCCTGAAACTCCCCACTCTTTTGAGCACTATGTGATTTTTCTCTGATGAGCCGTGGTAGGTCAAAGAGAGGAAGGGAGCCCTGGACAGGGGTCGGGGCACCTGAACATCACTGCTGTCATAATAACCTGTGGTGTGCTTTCAGCAAGTCACTGACCCCTCAGGCTTCAGCCTCTTATTTCAAAAATCCACGCACAGTGCTGTTATAATAAAATGCCTTTTCCCTGACCTTTTGAAGCACCCTCACACCTCTCTATGTATCTCATCACACTCCAGCATGTGTCGCACATCATTGCCAATTCTTATGAAAGTTGATGGACAGGTTGACATCCTCCTGGAAGCAGCCACTGTGTTGTTTCACATCATTCCCAGGTCCCTGCCCATGTGACAGGAGCACCTCTGCTTCCCTCTCAATTACGGTGGACATCCCCTAATGGGCGTCAGAAGTATCATCAAGAAGGGGAATGTTGGGGCCAGAGTTGTGGCGCAGCAGGTTAAGCCGTGACCTGTGACGCCAGCATCCTATCACATGGGCACTGGTTGGGAGTCCCAGCTGCTCTTAAGAAGAAAAGCAGAGGCCTATGTATGGGAGAAGGTGTGTGTAGAACTTCGAATGCTTCTCTTCGTACCCACAATTTTTAAAAGTCTCCCTGGGCTTTCTGCCCGAGTAGAAATGCATGGATAGTCTCAACAACACACTCGTCTTAGGCAACTTGTGTCCTGATTTATCATCAGAGGCCTGACACATGAAGAGGCTAAAGTGACCTACCCAGCCCGGGGAGGCCACTGGGAGGGTGCGTCTGCACCCAGTGCTCAGAGACCTGCGGGCACTTACCTCCCCATTGAGGACGGCCGAGGACTCCTGGCTCCTGTCGGTGGGGGGCTGTGCCACGGGCAGGGCTGCAGGTTTTATGGCGATGAGCTGCACAGAACCTGAGGATGTGTCGAAGGGATCCACAGCCGCCTTGCCAGAGCTGTCAAAAAGACCCGTGGCCTCCTCTTCCTCGCTACCTGGCACTGAAGCATGACACAAACACATGGAGCGTAGGATGCAGGGAGAATCAGCCCTAAGCACGCGACTTTACTCCCAACAATCACCTCGGGCAGGCCACTGCTTGTGGTTTTCTTTTCCATTTAACATCTAGACCATTTGGCCCTCCTCTGCATTGCCATCCTTGGGCAGGACAGACCGGGGAAGGTGTGGATTTAAACAGTGAACATCATCCTTTCAAGACTGACCCAATGCATTTCAAAACATTAACGGGTCAGTTTTATTTTCTCTGCATTTGAGACAGAAATGGGGAAAATGAATTTGGCCAAACCTTGCAACTAAAATCTACCCGCCAACAGGATCACAGTGTCTGGTCCAGTTTCTGCCTCCAAAACCACTGATGTGTGAAGGTGACAGATCTTCCCTGGCCCACCAGCCGCCAGCATCATTGCTGAGACTTTTAATATTCTGAAGGCTGCTTTGATGATTCGGGCTTTGGGTTCTTTCATTTGCCTGAGACAAAAGAAACCTATGAAAAAACCACCCAAGAAACTAATTTAAAGCTACAGACAACTCCCCTAAGTAAACAGAGTGATCTCCACCTACGCCCTGGAAAATTATAATTTTTCCGACTGATGGACAATTCTGCTGCGAACATGGAAAGATACCAGACTGCCCTGTGCTCCTACAGCTAACCTGACAGCAAAAGTCCAGGGCCAGTGGCACCTTGCTGATTTACCTGTTCTGAAGCACACTCCCACTAAGTAACTCTCCAAATGACAGTTTACTGAGCACGGCTTGGGAAGACATGCATTAATTAAGCCTGTTCAAACAACTGAGCCAGTAGACAATTTAAGGAGCAAAATAGGTATTATATAAAATATGCGGCGCTGTGGCTCAACAGGCTAATCCTCCGCCTAGCGGCGCCGGCACACCAGGTTCTAGCCCTAGTCGGGGTGCCGGATTCTGTCCCAGTTGCCCCTCTTCCAGGCCAGCTCTCTGCTGTGGCCAGAGAGTGCAGTGGAGGATGGCCCAAGTGCTTGGGCCCTGCACCCCATGGGAGACCAGGAAAAGTACCTGGCTCCTGCCATCGGATCAGCGCAGTGCGCGGCCGCAGCGCGCCGGCCGCGGCGGCCATTGGAGGGTGAACCAATGGCAAAGGAAGACCTTTCTCTCTGTCTCTCTCTCTCACTGTCCACTCTGCCTGTCAAAAAAAAAAATATGAATGTAATAGGAGTATATTCATCTTTCCTCCTATCTGCTCAAGAGATTGGGAGATGTTATGTAAATTATTGAGAAACACATAGTTTGTATCACTCTGTCACTCATCATAATCAGAAGATTTGTCAAATTAAGCCAAGTAAATTGTTTTTTTACAATGCGGCTGAAACACCTTGGAGTCTAACAATGGGCTATAATTAGAATTTTTTTTTAAAGTTTGGTGGAATTTTTTTTAAGTTCACAAGCAGCAGGCCACCGAGCAGGCACTGACAGAGAAACACCTCTGTTGGGACGTGTTACCAAACGCACACAGATTTTTCGAGTGTAATTTTGCAGGGCACCTCCTGCCTGGCCCCCACTCTCTGCCACCTGGACAACTTCTCTAAAAGCCATCTGTGGTAATCTGATTCCCACCTCCTGGGAATTCTCGGCTCCTGACGCTCATTTCCACAGTGAGCGAGTCGGGAGGCCTGGGCTAACGAGAGGAAACTACAGAGAGGAGAGCCTCTCGCTTCCGAGGCGGGGTCGTGAGAAAGCATCTTGGTGTTCAGCTTGCTTTCCCTTGGATCGCTCCCTCCGGGATCGCTCCCTCTGCCACGTTAGGAGGACACTCCAGCAGCCCCACAGAAAGGTCCACGTGGCAGGGAGCTGAGGTCACAGCTCCATGAAGGAGCCAACTTGTAAGATTCACTGGAGACTATAGCTGACTACAGCCCAGGCCAACATCTTGACCGTGACCCCATGAGAGGTGGGAACCAGAATCAGCCGGCTAGGCCACTCCTAAATTCCTGCCCCCACAGACATTAGGTGGGGGATAAGCGGAGATCGCTATTTTAGGTTGCTGGGTAATTTGTTATGTGGCAATAACTAACCTATGCACCTGCGAAACAACCTCCCATCTTGGAAGATTCTACTCTTGTCCTCTGACCCCAAAACATACACTGCCTCAGGATGGAATATTCTTCTGAAAGGGCAGCCAGATCACATTCTCCCTCTGATCAGAACCCTCTGGGGCCCTCACCTCTCTCAGAGTAAGTCGGACAGATGCTTCCTACACTGTGCTGGCCACTCCACGGAGCTCACTCCTCCACTCTGCTCTAGCCACGGCAGCCTCCTGGAACCCACCAGGCTTGTTCCCACCTCGGGAGTACGGTGCGAGCTCTCTCCTCCGCCCAGAACACCCTCCCTGCAGGTCGACACCTGCCTAGCTCCTCTTTACTTTCCAAGCTGCAGCTTGACAACAAACCTCCCTGTAGCTGGTGAGCTACAGTGCCTGCTCACTGCCCTGCTGTTTGCTCCCTAGCACTTACCACTGCCGAGCAGGGAACTGACTTACAGGCTGCCCTCACTGGGCCGCTACAGTGTAAGCTCTGCTCTTGCCCGTCTTTGGAGAGACTCATGCCTGTTGCCTTTACCAGTGTCTCCCTGGCAGCTGGTCCCCAGAAAGGATTTGTCAAATAAAGGAATGAATGAACGAGTGACTTGACTTTCCAGACATAGCAAAAGAGAGGTTGCTAGTAGCTGCAGATGAGGCAACCACGTAGAAGTCAAGGTTGTGCTGTCACTAAACCACTTAGAGGGAAAAGATGTTTGCTTCTGGGTTTAACACCCTCGGCCCCCAATGCTGTGGGGTTAAGAAAAACAGCAGAACGAAGGCAGGATAAGAAGAAAACAGTCTGGAAACTGCATGCCACAGTTCTTTCTTGTCTTCACTGTTAAAAAAAAGTTATACAAGTATTCAGATTTGCACAACATTTCCTGTAGGTATTTTTAAGAGAAAATAGTTATCTTCCTTCCACCAAAGGACTTTACAGAAAAATACATGAAAAGGCATAATACTAAATATTAATACATTAAAAAGTTGTATGAGTACAGCAGGTTCCTGGGGATTTTTAATGCATAATTAGTCCCTACAGAAAAAAAAAGCCAAGGAGAATGCTAAAGGCAAGGGCCACAGTTAAACTGTGGAAGTGCCCCAGAATTCACACAGCCATCCTACATGTCCTTGTGCCTTATTTGCACTGCTGGTCTTAATTTCAGTCAATCAAACTGCAAAGAGATTTCATTTCTTCACATGCGAGTTGGCATGGGGAGAGCCATCCTACCTGAGACAGAAAACACCTTATCACATGCTCTTTGTCTCTGAAATTTTCATTAAAGCTCAAAGACAAATATCTACACCTAGCATCACTGCCCTCCGAGCTCTCTGACAGGCTAATTACTGTGATTTCATCACTCTGCAATCTGTACGTGTAGAAAACATCACATTGTACCCTGTAACAGCAATGACAGAGGATGCAATAAACCCAATGGAAAACAAGGAGCTGTAGAATGACAGCCCAGCACATTAACATTTCTTAATTAACCTTAGCGACCCTGAGCCTCTAAACTACCAAGCCATGAATCGGCAGTTTTTGCAAATTCCATGCCAACAGCATCATCTAATCTGTTCTCAGAGACCACAACACTCTCACTTTCTGCAGGCTGGTAAGTTGATGAAAATACACCTTTTTGTCTTCGCCTCAGTTCCATCAATATTATTTTCTTTCTTCCTTTCCCTTTCATTCCCATCCCTCCTTTCCCCTTCCCTCGCTCCCTCCTTTCTTCCCTCCTTTGGCTCATCTTCCAAACCAGTACAACGCACTATGAAGCTTGCTGGCTAACTCTAACCTGGCATTGTGCTGACACAGAGCCCTTTGATTGACAAAGGACCAGTGTGGGCTCCGCCGACAGGCCCTCCTGGAACTCTGATGTGTGCTTCCACATCAGTTGAATTTTTCATGAAATGAGTCGGTCCCGTCGTTTCTATTTGAAAATTTCAAACCTAAACCTCCCTGAATGGAAACTTGTGAAACAGAAGTGACCAACCTTGAAAATCCTCCGGATTTACTCTGGGCAAAATAAAATGCATCCAAGCAAACACTCTAAACCTGGGAAGGAGAGCTTTTTAATAAAATAAATAAAAACCTCACCTGATAGAGTAATTGCATTTTAGTCACGCACCTGTGTGTGCGTGATATTTTACATAATCAAAGTGACCCTCACAGAATAAGGAGGCAGGCAGAGAGGGCGAAGGTGTGCTGGGACATTTAGGGGAGGTCAGAGTTGCTCCAGCTGGACGGGGAGTGCTGGGGTCACTCTTTCTTCTTCTAAGAGCCAAATATGGGGGCGGTGTGGGGGGACAGGCCATCATTTTATAAACGTCTATTGACTGACAGTGGAGTCTGTATGTTGCAGATTTTTAAGCAAGTGGAAGGACATACAACAATATGCATATTGATTCCATGCAACACAGCAAAAAACAAAGATGTGTGTGTTGTTATATGCATACAAAAAAGGTTAGAGACAGACACATACTTAGTTATTAAGGTCACTGGAGGAGTTGGGTGGGTGAGGAGGGTAGGTGGTCTTCGACTTGGCTTTATCAGTTTCCAGGAAGAACATAAAGGAAAGAAGGAAAGGAGTTGGGAGGGCGTGGCGGGGAGGGGGGCAGAGCTGGAAGGGTGTACAGGTGCTTCCTTGGTTAGGTGGATGGCTGTGGCACTGAGTTGTCTCTGGGTATCCGTGAAGGATTGGCTCCAGGACCCCTGTAGATACCAGAATCTGTGGATGCCCAGTACCTCATATGAAACGACACATGTTTATATAACCTCTGCATATTCTCCCACATACTGTAAATCATCTCTAGAATACCCACACCTGCATTCTTCAGGGAATAATAACGAGAAAAAAAGTCTACACAGGAACCAGCATGTAGCAGTGGTTAAGATACCACTTTGCTCATATCCCATAACAGAGTGCCTGCTTCAAGTCATGGCTACTCTGCTTCCGGTCCAGGATCCTGCTCATCTGCATTCTGGGAGGTAGCAGGTGAGGGCCCCTGCCCCTCACATGGGAGACCCAGGTTGAGCCTCAGGCTCCTGGCTTCAGCCTGGCCCAGCCTTGGCTGTTGCAGGCATTTGGGGAATGGAAGACGCTAAAGCCTGCGCATGTTCAGTACAGATGCAATTCCCCCCAGGATGCTTCCTATCCATGGTTGGTTGACTCTGAGGATACAGAGCCCTCTGGTACGGACAGCAGAGCGGACTTAGTGAAAACAGCCTTCCCCTGTGTCTTTGCTGTGCACTGTGCCTGCCCGTCACCCAGCTCCCTCTCCCCATGTCTCTCAGCACCTTGCCCTGGCAAGGAGAACGGTGCTAAATCCCAGTCCTTTTCCCAAGGCTAGAGCTCCCGGGACTCTGTGTGCTTGCAGGGCAGAATTTCTCACGGCCCCAGGTAGGGCAGAGCTTCCAGGAACTCCCTAATGCTGAAATGGACAGCACAGTCTGTGTGCTCCAGGGCATGTAGAATCCAAGGGAAGAAAAAGATTCTAGAACTGAGTGGGCATGACAGTTTAAATAAGTGCTTTATACAGTAGCTGGGGATGAGAACAGGGACCACATCTTCCCTGCAGCAAACAAATCCATGTGTCATTCCGCCTTTGTTTTTTCTTCTCTCTCTCTCTCTCCTCTTTTTTTTTTCGGTCAGAAAAAAAGGAAGATGTAGTGGCATCCGAAAACAAAAGAGGAGAGAGCCCCTGAACTACACTATGTCACATCGCTGGAGAAGGGAAGCACAGCTACGCAGGGCACCCGATTGCTTTGCTTTTCACCCAGCCTCTTGGCTTGGCTCCACCGACAGCCCTTCGAAAGCCAAAAGGAATTCTCCCCCACTGGAAACCAGCTGCAGCGGGCACTTGAATTCTGAGCTCCAGTGAGCCAGCGTCACACACAGGAGGACTGAGCACAGAGGCAGGTGGGCGGGTGCACGGTGCAGCCCAACAGAGGCCAACTACAGCACAACAAGGGAGCTCCGGCAACTGAGAAATAAACCCAAAGCCCAGTACTTTACAAGGAGGGAAAGATCTGTGAGACAGAGAGGCTCAACAGTGGCATCCCCTTAGAGAATGGAGGGAGAAAGCATGGAGACTGATTTTTTTTTTCTGGGAGAAGTGGATTTGCAATACCAGGACTCGATGGCATAGAATGAACCCCTGAACCTTATTAGGGGAATCAGGGCTAGAAAATGAGGGGAATCGGCACTAGAAATCAGGTGGATTTGCCAAAGAATTCGAAACATCTCTAAACAAACATTGATCTGTCCTGTAAAGGGTTCTTCTAAGCAATAATTCTCTAAGCACATGGGGTAGAGGGAGTGGGAGAGAAGAATTGAGAGAAAGGGGTCAGGTGATGACCCAAGGGGCACAGCAAACACCTGGCCCAGCCTGGGGAACTTAGGTGTGTGGGTGTGCACGCATGCGTGGAGGAGCTGGGGCGGGGCTTGGCGGGAAGGCTTCTCACCATTTCTCTTCCTGGCCTCCTCCTTTGTCACTTTCTGCTGGGCCATTACATTCTGGGGTGAGCGTCTCCCTGAGCTGGGCTTTCCTGATTCGTTGCTGATGACAGAGCCGTTCTCACTGGGCGACCTGCTGGAGGTAACCATAGCAACAGGGGAGATGGTAAGTTTCGACAGGAGCAGCCTCCTCTCAAGGTTATTTTATTTGCACAGTTTGTCTCTAGCCTTTCGTTCCAGGCCTGTTGACAAAGAAGAATGATACCGGAGAAGAAAGAGACAAAACCACCCACTCTCCAGCTCGGGCTAAGCAGCCGCGCGTTCCCAGGTGCGTTTGCCAGTGCCACTCTGCAGGCGAGTTCAGACGGGGGCAGCCCTCAGTCCCCCGGGGACTCCGGAAATGGTGGCGAGAGCCAGTAGGTAGCATGCTCTCTTCTCACACACAGTACTTGGCTACTATGGCAGTGTTTGAACCCCACAGGCAGCCTCCGCCACACGTGTGAAACCCCGCCTTCTTTGGCCGTTCCCGTCCTGTCACAGACCTTGTCTACTAAAGACTGTCACTCTGCCGTTGGGATCTTCACTCTGTCACTCACATACACTCAGACACATGCCGACACATACACTCACACATACACTCACATATATACACATACTCACCCACACACACATACATGTACACTCATACACATGCTCACACATACACTCACACGTACACACACACATGCCTGTACATACACTCACATATATACACACTCACATACATACACGCACACAAGCTCTCACTCATGCTCACATACACAGACATGCCCACACATACTCATACACATATACACATACATGCTCACACTCACACATACACACATGCTCACACTCACACACACACACATGCCCACACATACACACATATACACATACATGCTCACACATTCTCATACATACACATGTTCACACTCACACGTATACACATGCCCACACATACTCATATACACACAATACACACATACATGCTCACACATATACATACACATGCTCACTCACATGTACACATACACATATACATACACTCACACACATATGCACCCACACACATGCTCTCACACACTCACATTCACATGTACACACATACATGCCTGTACATACACTCACACATATACACACACATACATGCACACAAGCTCTCACATACTCATACTCACATACACAGACACATACACTCATATGCTCTCTCTCTCTCTCTCTCTCTCACACACACACACACACACACACATCCACTGTATTTAGTAAGCACTTGTAGTTTGAAACAACCAGCTTGGGCCCAGGAAGAACCTTCTGTGTGCTGGCATTGTGCCAGGGGCGGAGGTCTAGAGAGACACCAGGACACCACTCCATGCCTTCCAAGAGCTCCCAGCAGGAGCACCTACTGTATGACGAGGGCTGTGTTGTGCTGAGTGCTTTCAAAACTGTTAGTCAACTAGGCCGGCAGTCCACCGATTTAGTGAATGCCAGCCCTGTTTAGCAGGGGAGGCTTGGGAAGCTCAGGGAAAGTGCACTGTCCAGGGCAGAGCCGGGAAGCGGCAAATCGGCTGGGAGCCAGGGATCCCTGCCTCTCACACCCACAGCACCTTGGCTTTGCTCTCTGCCTCTGCGAGCCTGGAGAAGGGCAGCCTCAGAGCCTCCTTGCCTTCCCTCCGGCCAGACTCGTGCCTTCGAGAAATCTGTGGGAACTGGACTCTTGAGAACCCCCAGGAACCTCCGAAGGTGTCAGTGTGAGGATGGACTAAATGCAAAGGCCAACTGCCCCCACTCTGCAGAAGCCAATCAGGAGGCAGACAAGAGGGGCCTTTCGTTCCTCTGCTGTCAGTTGTTCAAACTTAGAAAAGAAGGACACCCAGGATGCCTAGGATGGGCATGTGTGTGTGAGTGTGTGTGTATGTGTGGGCATGCATATGTGTGTGTATGTGTGAGTGAGTATGCGTGGGCATGTGTATGTGTGTGTGTGAGTATATGAGTCCATGTGTGTGTTAGTGTATGTGTGTGTGTGAGTATATGAGTATATGTGGGGGCCGGCACTGTGCTGTAGTGATGCTGCCTTTGCAGTGCCGGCATCCCTTATGGGCGCCTGTTTGAGTCCTGGCTGCTCCACTTCTGATCTAGCTTTCTGCTGTGGCCTGGAAAAGCAGTAGCAGATGGCCCAAGTCCTTGGGCCCCTGCACCCACGTGGGAGACCCAGAGGAGGCTCCTGGCTCCTAGCATCAGATTGGCGCAGCTCCAACCATTGAGGCCAGCTGGGGAGTGAACCAGCGGATGGAAGACCCCCCCCGCCCCGCCTCTCCTTCTCTCTCTGTATAACTCTGAATTTCAAGTAAATAAATCTTTAAAAAAAAAGAGTGCATGTGTGTGTGAGTGTATGAGTGTGTGTGTATGTAAGTGTATGCATGTGTGAGTGTATGTGTGGGCATGTGTGTACGAGTGTGTGAGTGTGTGTATATATGTATGTGTGAATATGTAAGTGTGAGTATGTGTGTGTATGTGTATATGTGAGTGTGAGTATGTATGGGCATGTGTGTGTATGTGTGTGTGTGGATATGTGTATGTGTGTATGAGTGTGTGAGTGTATGTGTGTATGTGAGTGTGCATATGTGTGGGCATGTGTGTGTGCATATGTGTGGGTGTGTATGAGTGTGTGAGTATATGTGTTTGTATGTGAGTGTGAGTCTGTGTGGGCATGTGTGTGTGTGTCTGTGTGTCTGTGTTCGATGCAGGATGCCTAGAGTAACACATTGGATCACTGGGTAAGCAGTGGCTTGGATGGCGGCCTTTCTTCGTGTCCCTCCTCCTCTAGTCTTAGTTTGGAATAAGGACAGTGGGGATATCTTTGGGATAAAGCAGCATCTACCAAGGGGGTTCCATGGAATACTACAGCCAAGGGATGTGCTCCTCACCAAAGTCCCACAGACAATATAAGGCTAGGAAGCACGCATCATGTTCCCTTTGGAGATTAACACACGTTGGCATGTCAAAGGCTCAGACCAGCTCTGTCATACAAAGACTCATCTAGTTTCATTTCATCCAGCACTTCCCAATACATTTGGCTACAAATCTCTTTAACCACAGAAGTTTTTCACATCCTGTAAAATTAGTGATACCAGTAGTGTGCTCTGAGAAAATATCGGCAGAAATCAGCGTGGGTAATACGTGTTTGTTCACCCAACAGCTATTTGCTGAGCTGTGGATGCACCGACACACCTACACAGGGAAGACATTCCCTTGGACTGGTTTCAGAACCTCATGGTTAATGGCACCTGGTCTCCCAACTGGCTTTATTTATTTCATTTAGGCCCAGAAAGAAAAAAAAAAGGCAAAGGGAAAGGCTTTTTGTAACCCATTTTACATTTATAAAATGTTTACTGGTTTCTGTAGCATTTTCAGACCCTTGCACCTTTTTTGATCCTGAAACAGTTTTCTGGCTGTTCTTGCTCCAAGGAAGGTGCCAGTGAGCAAACTTCCATAAAGAGAACCTAAATCTGCTTTATTCTTTGCATCACTTTACAGATTTTCTTTTCTGTGGTGTCATCTGCTGGAACCTCCTGGTCAAAACCAACCAATAAGGTGTGTGTGTGTGTGTGTGTGTGTGTGTCCACTGGCAGGATAAAAGCATTTATAAAGCAATCAGTGTGATGCCATAGGGCATAGTCTTGGGTCTCCTCTCTATCTGTCCCCTCCAAGGTGATCCCTTCCAGTCCCACAGAACAAGACACACTGCCAGCTCCTGCAGTTGTACTTCTGCTTGGGACCTCTCCTTTGCATGCCAGACTCATGGTAATGAGTTCTCAACATCCCCACTTGCATATATCACACACCTCTCAGTTGTGACACGTTCACATCCAAACTCTTGATCACTGCCTAAAACTTCCTCTGTCTTCTCTGTTCCTGCTTCATCACCCTGCAATAATCTGTCAGCAAATGGTGTCAGCTCTTCCTTCGGAATACCTCTAGCATCAAACACCTCTCACACTCCCATGCCACGGCCCACACCCTCCTCTCCCACGTGGACCACAGCAGTAGCCTCTTGTGGGTCTCCCGGCTTCTACTCTACAGTCCTACAGTCTAGTTTCCACAGAGCGGCCACACTGAGCCTCTAAGAGTGCAAGCCATATCAGGTCATTACTCTTCTCAAAGCCTTCCAGTGACGTCTGATCTTTATTCTCAACAACATTCCAAGTCCTGCCTTTGGTCTGTAGAGCCCGACGAAGACAACCTCAGACCACTGCCTTCTCTGGCTCGGCCACTGCCACTTCCTCTCCAGCTCATGCTTCTTTCAGCTCATCCGTAAGTTCCCTCCTGTGGGCCTTTATGCACCCTGTTCCATCTGCTTGGAACATTCTTCCCATAGCAGCCACGTGTTTTACGCATTTCAATCTGTCTTTCTCAAATGTCGCCTTATCAAAGAGGCCTTCCCTGCTTCCCATCTAAAACTATTACTACGCCTCCCTCTCCATCTCTCCACACCCTTTCCTGCACTTTGGTTTTCTTCTTTGTATCCATTGCCATGGGCAGACTTGATCTTATTTCTGTTTCTCCCCACTGGATTGGAAGCTGCATGAGGGCAAACTGCTCATATGTATCCCCATATGTAACCTGATAAATAGCAACTCATCTGTGAATATCTGTTAGATAAAGGTTGAGGGAGAGGAAGGATGTAGTTCTTCTAACCCACACAGTGATCTCAGGAAAAGGAGAGGGAGCTGGCAACAGATGTTGGCTTAGCAGTCAACAGGGCCTTGGCTGTGGGAGTCGTTAGCTCTTTATAAGGCTATTGCAAAGTGCTTATAATGAGTCCCTTTGTCCCTAACCTAATGTTCATCCACATTGCCATCATAATTGTCCTCCTAAAATACAGGCTGGACGTCACTGTCTTCCAAAAGAGCTTTCAGTGGTTCTCCATGGCCCAGAGAAGAAACATCACACTCCTGGGCATGCAGTCAAGACCTTCCACAGTTTTAATTCGTCTTCCAGTTCACCCTTCTCTATGCCCCAGCCAGTAAAAACTCTAAACTGCAAGGTCAGCATTGTGATGAGAACACGCCCGTCCCTCTTCTCTGTCCTGTCACGTAGACAGGATGCTTCGATTTCTTCCCACCTGCTCAGATCACATTCTGCCTGCGAGGCGAGGCTGAAACACACCTATGATGCTTTCCCTGTCAAGTCACCTCTTCCTCCTCTCTTCCCGGGCACTTTGCTCAGACTCCCCCGCAGGCCGCACACATCATACTCGGCCTTCTGGGAGTTTCTCTGGCTCCTCCATCCTGAGGTCCTGTGGATCAGGAATCAGTCCTACACACTGCAGTGGTTCTCCTAATGCCTGTCCACGTGCTCTGTTCGTAGTAAAAACCCAATAAAAGATTTTGTCTGAAATCAGAAACTGTATTGAGAAACTGCCAGATAAATTCAACCATACCGAATCAAAGGCACTGCTTTTAAGAGAAGTTAAGAATGTAAGGGTGACAACAGCGTCAGGTGTGTTACAATCAATGTAAGAGCTAAACCCTGCTGATGTGGCTGATCAGAGCCAAAAACCGGACAAAAGGTGGCTCCCGCAAAGCAGGTATTGGCATTCTCATCGCTTCCTTAGTCTCCTTCTCAAGCATTCAAAACAAGCATGAAGGGGAATTTTTAAAGAGAATGGTGGAATTAACTAGAGGGCTGCAGCTGCTCTCACCATCAATTATTTCTCTTGCTGACGCGGAGAGGCAGAGCTTGGCCCCGTGCCTACCTTTTTCTGGTTTCTGTGGACTTGGCTGTCTTGATGGTGCTCCCGTCCTGAGCGATGTCTCTTTCCTGAGGAGCATCTCTCGTGGGCAGCGGGAGGACCACCGTTTCCTGCGTCACGGGGATGACCTCTTCATCTGCCCCTTGCTGGCCCAGGTGCTGCTTGGCATAATCAAAGCCTTGCACCGGCTGCAAAGGGAAAGAGAACTGCAGTCATATCCCCAAGGACTGTGACTCCACGGTGGCTCTGAGAGGCTGGGTGGCGGCGGTGGGCCTGGGATGCAACCACACTTAGTTCCCGATGAATGCAGGGAACCCAGGTCCCCATCATTTCTGTCTCTGCAAAATCAGAACACGTGTTAGTGCCACGATCCCACCTTGCTACAGAATCTCTACAGATAAGGCCAGAAAGAGTGTGAACAAGACACACATACAAGCATGTGAGAACAAACTTCTTTTGAGGTTTTTGGAGCATTAATGTAAAACCAATGGCTCCTGCTAATTAGAAATAACTCTAAATCGATACATTAAACAGGTCCTATATAATCTGCTGCCTGGAAATGTTTGCTCATCCCTAAATTCCACTCTCATACGGCTTCAGTTTTACGTGTAAAGCCAAGTCACTTGAACTTTGAACCCGTTTTCTCATGTGGGGAGGAAAGATCTCTCACTTGGTTTACCTCCACTACCCTTGAATGGATCAGAGATTGGAAAACAGTGAAAGGTACCACCACATGTGAGGCAGTACGATCATTAACAATGAAATGGAATTTACTGATTCACTCTTTTTTTAAAAAATTTTTTATTTTATTTATTTGAAAGGAGAGAGAGGGGTCGTCCATCTGCTGGTTCACTCCCTAGATGACCACAATGACCAGAGCTGTGCTGATTTGAAGCCAGGAGCCAGGATCTTCTTCCAGGTCTCCCATGGGGTGCAGGGGCCCAAGGACTTGGACCATCTCCACTGCCTTCCCAGGCCATAGCAGAGAGCTGGATTGGAAGTGGAGCTGCCAGGACTTGAACCGGCACCCATATGGGATACCGGCACTGCAGGTGGCAGCTTTACCCACTACGCCACAGTGCCAGTGCCCTGATTGGCTCTTTAATCCAGACTTCTCCCATAAGCAGACTGTCTCACCTGTACTTCATTCCCAGGAAATTAGCAGGCTTCTATCACAGAGCATCTGAAATCTTAAGTGAGCAAAAGTCAACAGACACCCATCTGTGGGGTACTAAAAAAACCCAGAGAGGCATGTGTAAGCAGTTTCTGAGGGGTGTCTATCCTGGTTTGCACCCCAGAGCAGACAATACAGACTGGAGGCAGGAGAGTGTACTGGTTCAGAGTGGCAGCTTGCCTGGATTCAAATCCTGACTCCACCACTTAGCTGTGTAGCCTTGGGTAAGTTATTGGACTCTCGGCACATCAGGTTCTTCATCTGCAAATTGGAGATAAAAATAGCATGTGTGTGTGAGAGGGGTGTCCGACCACCCTCGGGGGGATGCTACAAGGGGTAAGCACGTGATTCGAGCTCAGCATTTAGCTGAGTTCCTGGGGCACAGTAAGCAATCATTATCACTCTTTACTGTTTGCTCTCCTGCTGAACCACAGTCTAGGTGAGATGGACATCAGGGATGCTTTTCGGGAAAATTTGGGGGTAAAACTCGATCCCTACCATTTAGAATTCATCAGAATTCATGTGATCAGAAGCTCTCCCTTCAGCAGTTAATTTTGCAAAACAAATGCACCAGGAAGGCCCCAGCCAGATTTGACGACCCACAGTGGAGAGTGTTGTGACCCGCCTGTCAAGTCCAACCACCGTGTCTCTGAACTGGATGAGGTTTCACTGCTAAATCCAATCAAGCTGCCTTATGTGAGGCTGTCTGTAGGTGTGGGCTATTCCCCCACATCCCCGGGAAACTCACTCTGGGAAGTGTGGTCCCCTGCCCCCTTACTCTGAGGCACTCACTCTGACCCATGTGGTGACCAGTGACATTCTGGTGCCAGGATCTGGGGTTGAAGTTTTTTTGTTTTGTTTTTGTTTGTTGGTTTATTTTTTATTTTTGCCAGGCAGAGTTAGACAGTGAGAGAGAGAGACAGAGAGAAAGGTCTTCCTTCTGTTGGTTCACCCCCCAAATGGCCACTATGGCTGGTACACTGCGTCGATCTGAAGCCAGGAGCCGGGTACTTCCTCCTGGTCTCCCATGTGGGTGCAGGGCCTAAGGACTTGGGCCATCCTCCACTGCACTCCCGAGCCACAGCAGAGAGCTGGACTGGAAGAGGAGCAACCGAGACTAGTACCCAGCGCCCCAACCGGGACTAGAACCTGGGGTGCCAGTGCCACAGGCAGAGGATTAGCCAAGTGAGCCATGGCGCCAGCCTGGGGTTGAAGTTTTGAAATGCATTTGCTAAGGGTAGAGTGGTTCTTCCCTTCCCCGCTTCCCTCGGTGCTGCCTGACACAGAATGGCGTGCTTAGTAACTGGATAACATCCCACGAAACCTGTATTGCCTGCTCCTCCCACAACCAACTGGTCGCCAGCTGGATTCAACTTCTGAAAAATGTCTGCAAGCTGATTTTTCTCCCCCAGGTTCACAATTTCTCAGTCTCGTTGCTTCCATTCTGCCACCTTCCAGGCCCACCTAGACAAGCCTCCAACATTATCTACCTTAAAGCCACAGCTGGTCGCACCCAAATTTGCAGCGTTTTATGGCACCCAGACTCTTTGGCAAGGCATCCAAGGCCTTTCACGCTACAGCTGAACCCAATGGTCCAGTGTCATCTCCTCTTGGCCCCCTTTCTGCCACACCTCCATGCCCACCACTTCCCTATTCAGATTTGTTCCAATAACATGGGCTTGTGCCAGGATCTGTGCTTGGTGCTGGCAATGACTCATAACTGGCCCCTGCCCTTGAGTTTCAGCATCACTCGAAACATACTACAGTGACATACTACATGAATTATGTCACTGCATCCAAGCGGTAGGCATTAGTAGGTGTCTCCATTTTACCCATGAAGAAACCGAGACGTAGAGAGGCACGCTCTCACCGCTGCTCTAGAGTGGAGCCACCACTGGAAGCCAGCACCGTGAGACCCAGAACTACTGCTTAGGGGATTCCTCCTGTGGGCCCTCCTTTCCTTCTGCAGCTGTCATCTTGCTTGGGCATCTCTGACTGTGATGGTCCTGGCTCCTGTGATGAGATGCCTGGCTGGCCCGTGAAGAACTGGAAGTCTCCCACTATAGCTAAGACTCCCCAGGATCTAAAGCTGGGGACAAGCCAGCTCTGCATCCCCACTCTCTCTGGACTTGACCCCTAACCCTTCACACTGGGTTGAAATTACCCACTGGATATGTTAGGTGACTGGGTCCAGGTTGGGTGTGCAGAAGGAGACATAAAGAAATAAGCTGGGGGCTGGCGCTCTGGCACTGCAGGCTGAGCCATCGTCTATGCCACTGACAGCCCATGTTGGAGTGCCAGTTTGAGTCTGGCTGCTGCCCACTTACAATCCAGCTCCCTGATAATGTGCCTGGGAAGTCAACAGAGGATGTCCTAGGTACCTGAGCTCCAGACACCAACATGGAAAACCTAGATGACTTCCTGGTTCCTGGCATCAGTTTGGCCAAGCCCTGGCCATTTGGGAGAGTGAAGCAGCATGTGAAAGGTCTCTGTTTCTGTCACTCTGCCTTTCAAATAAACCATAAACCATTAAAAAATAACAAGTTTAAAAGGTGGTCCCTCTTGGGAGACCTGGAAGATGCTCTGGCTCCTGGCTTCCCATCGGCCCAGCTCTAGCCATTGTGGCTCTCTGGGGAGTGAACCAGTGGATGGAAGACCTCTCTCTCTCTCTCTGTCTCTCCTTCTCTCTGTCTGTAACTCTACCTCTCAAATAAAATAAATAAAATCTTTTAAAAAAAATCACAGTCTTTCCTTCACAGGCAAGAAAACAAAGGCTCAGAGAGCTTCATTGATTTGTCCACAATCACGCAGCTAAGTAGTGAAAGACTCAAGACTAGTCACTCACTCACTTTCAGGGAGTGGTCCTTCAACTTTCAACTTGAAAACTACCTGAGACCAGTGAATTTCCTACTGAACATATGCTAGTGACCTCCAACCCCTTTAATACATCATGATGCATAATTGTATAAAATTATCAAGTCAAAATAATTTCCTGTAATTTCAAAGTAGACACATTGCCAAGGCCTTTAAAGAAAAAAAGCACATATAACAACAGAAGCCAACTCACACGTAATATTTATTATGCACAGGCACAGCTCACAAGCAAGTATGTCTGTTTTACTTACCCCTCACAGTAACCTACCCATGAACATTGTTATCCCCAGTCTACAAATGGGAAACATGAGACACAAAGAGGTTAAGAAACTGACCCAGGGCTGTGGGAAAGAAGAAGCACTTGGCTGTTCTTAGGGAGCAAGTGACCTGTCTTGAGCCCACAGTCTGCCATCTACCCCAGCCCTTCCCAGGTCCATCCTGCGTCCTGGCTGTGGCACTAACTAGGGATGCCTATTTCAGGTAGCTGGGTTCCTTCAATTTCATGAAGTGAAGAACGGGGAAGCAGCTATAAAGCCAACGATAAGGAGTACAAAGAAGTGAAGTAGGAAGAAGGAGGTGACGGAAGTCATGACACCTGGCTCTCTTGCATTTATCATTTCATTGACGTTCTTCATGCAGAAGCCCAGCTGACAACAGTGGTGACAGGCCCGTCTAAGAACCTTGTCTCCGAAGAGGGTGCAGGTGTCCACACCCTAGCCTCCACTCCCAGGAAAGCCACACTCGCCTCCTCTGCTTAGCATGCTAAGTTCATTGCTGAGAAGGACCTCAGGACAGTCCTCCAGCACTGTAGCCTGCATTCTAAAGGCACAGGTTCGGCCCTGGGACCATCTTTCTAGCCTAGGGGCTGGCAGTGAAAGCTAACTTTTCCATTCTGCCTCATCCCTCAGCATGCACTTGATTCTGCTCCTACCCGCGAGGTTGTGAGAAGTGATGTTGGCGGCCCTCCCGTCTCCCAGACGCTGCAGAGTCCCTGCATTGCAATGGCAGAAGGACTCGGTAAGAGACTGACAGTAACACCCTGCTGGGTTCCCGTGCTAAAGGGGCTTTGGAAATCAGAGTGGGCAGCCCAGCCTCACTGAAGGGAAAAGCAATCAGCAGTACCACACACAAGGGACGTCAATCATCTCGTAGAACATAAATGTGCTTGATTTTCAGCACCAGCCAGGTACTTCACGGAGCACAGTACACCAGGTAGGTACACAAACGGAGCGAAGGAAAAATCAAAACATGAATCTGTTCCAGCTTCAGGCAGCCTTCCGGCCAGAAGGTGTGCTGAAACCAGGTGCTTCCCCACTCCTCTTGGCAAAGGAGTCAAATTTTGGTTTCATCTACAACACTGAGCTGCCCCTTGCAACCTCAGTGTGACCCAGAACACCATGGACAGAGTGGCTTACAGACAACAGAAATGTGTTTGGCATTGCTGGCCTGGGCTGCCATCAGAGTGTGCTCCTTACTTGAGTTTGAAAGGCTCATGCTGAAAAGAAGCTGAGACAGAACTCAGAACAGTTTCATCTTTCACTGCTCGGGCAACTCCGCACGTACCTGTCTTACTGACCTCCTGCTGTGTGTGGGAGCAGGTGCCTCGGTGTCAACAGAAACAGAACAATAATCTTTGGGGTTTGGTTTTCTGTAGACAGCGTGTCTAATCAAGCAGCGGCTCCCCAACAGGTATACAGGTTTAACAAGCAGAACAAATCCTTTGATTTCCTGTGCCGAAGGAAGGTGTTCTCATCCCGAAAGAAACTAAGACAGCAAAAATGATCCCCATGGCTGCCATGCATTCCAATGGGCGGGAAGTGTGTGGGAAGAGGAATCTGCTGTTTTGTTCCTGCACAGGTGGACCAGGCTCAGGCGTTCAGAGCTGGAAGAGGATTCTACCTGCCACATAGCAGGATTCAGGCAGAAGGAGCTCAAAGGCTCGGATATGGGCCTCAGGCACCCCTCGGTTGTTAGTAGTGCGACTTGGGACAGACCCCTGGGTCTCTTTCCCTGAGGTTTCTTAGGAGCAAAATGAGGATAATGAAACGTGCCCTGGCGTGACCTCCCTCCCAGGGTTGCTGCCATGAACAAATGAGGTGCCAGGCCTCTTGGCGCCCAGCAGATTGGGAGACATTTAAACACCGAGAATCATGGTGAGTCTAGTTCCCTGAGGGACTATCATTGAAGGTAGCTACGTGACTGGAAAACCAGGCTGGAGGATTTCCTGCCCAGTCACCGGAGGCAGCTGGGGCAGAGCTGGGGAGGCCCTGGTGGGAGGAGGGGACTCCATGACGGGCTTCAGGAGAGCCACTGAACGGAGTGCGGTGGCTGCCCAGCCACGGCTCATGGTGGCTTCGGAAGGTGAGTCACTCCTGCCAGTGTGTCCAACAGAGCTGAGCTGCCGTGTCTCGGTTGGGGCTGCTCTGCCGAAACACCATGGACAGACAGAATGGCTTCTGGGTAACAGCAATGTGCCCCTAGTTCTGGAGGCCGAGAAGCCCGAGGGGAAGGAGCTGGCACGGCCAGTCCTGGCAGGGGCCCTCTCCCAGGCTCTGGATGCTGACTTCTGGCCATGTCCTCACACGGGATCGGAGGCCAGGGCACGCTCTAGGGTGTCCGTCCTAAGGGCATGGATCCCATTCCCGAGGGCTCCACCATCATGACCTCATCACTCCTCTAAGGCCCCCACCTGCAAGTACTATCACTTCGTGGGCTAAAATGGCATCACAGAAATCTGGGGGACACAAACATGTGGACCGTAGCAGCCCTGGTTCATCCATTGACTCTGCTCCTTAGAACTAGGGAACAGTGACGGGGTCACTTTTCGTACATAAAAGTAGGGCGTCTGGTTAAATTAACCCCAGGTCCTTCCACCGCCATCCAGTCCTCATTTTCTGTGCCTCCATTTGCTCATCTGTAAAATCATGGTCCTTCCTCTGAGGGGAGCACTTGGCTGTTGCCCCCTGTAAAGACTTGGAAGCACTTAGGGCAAAGAGAGAGCATGCGGCACGGGGAGGCATCCGTCTCCTGACCCGGTCATAAAATAAAGGGTCTCCACCTCGAAATGGGGACCTGGGAGGGTGGCTCTGAAGGCACCTGCCTTAAAAGTCAGGAGGGAGAGGCAGGCAGGGGCCCTGCAGGCTTGCACGCCCTCCCCACCGTGCCACGCACCTTGGCTCTCTGCGGCAGGTTTATCATGGTGTCTGCCTTGAAGTCGTTCTTGTTCTTCCTGCAGAGCACAGCGGTGATGATGATGATGATGACTGTGACCACGGCGATGGGCGCCAGCACCGCAGCGATGATCCACAGGTTGTTGGGCGGGTTCTTCACCACGGCTGTGAGAAAGAGCCAGCAGGAAGCCGTTCACAAGGAGCACTTGGGGAGAGGAAAGCGACTCAGACAGACACCTCCCGGCCCCAAGCCACGTGACGTGCGACGAGAGGGTGTGGATGTTACCAGGGCCTGGCATTGGAAAGCTGATACCTCTGCCGCTGCTGTGGGACTGTGAGCAAGTCACCCGAGCTCTCCGAGTCTCAGTTTCCTCATCTGTGGAATGGGGCTATCACTGAGTGCTGTTTTGGTGAGGTCCATGGTAGGTGCTCAATAAATGCCCATCTTTACTAAGAGGAAGGGGAGAAGGAAGATGGATCGGTGTGGTTTTCCTCATTGACAGTGAGAAGAGGTGAGAGAAGAACCAGGACTCAAAATGGGTGTTGGAGCCTGGGGCCAGAACCGTAGAGTGGCTCTAACCACAGTAGTGAGGCCACCCTGTGGGTGAGCAAAGAATACAGTGTAACCCGAGCAGATGAGCTCTGGGAGGAATGGCTGGGGAGCTTGGAAACACTTCAGCCTAGCCAAGAGGGCAGCCTTTCTCATGCTCACCCAATGTCCTGCTCATCAGCAAACTGTCAACTCCACCAAGCCACCAACACCTCTCCCCTGCAATACGCAGTGGCCCTCCCACCTTGCCCGGGTCCCCGGCGGCCTATTCACAGCACAGCTGTTGGGTTGAGCTTTAAAACCTCAGATGACAACACTCCTCTGCTCAAAAGCCGTCAGAGCTTCTATCACCCAGACAGCAAGAAGCGGACTCCTTATCATTTCTACAAACCCTAGCCGATCCGCCCCTCCCCTGGCCTCCTCGGCTGTTTCTCTGGCCTTTTAGCCGACTGCTCTTCTCTGAACTCACCACGCTCCCGGCCTGCTGGCCTCCTCCTGCTCCTCAAACATGGACACGTGCTCCGGGGTCGGGCCTTTGCACTCGCTGATAACTCCACACAAGCAGCCTTGACCAGGAATCCACATGGCGGCCACCCTCACTTCCAGGGCCCTGCTCACTTGTCCCCGTATCTGTGAGGCTGTCCCTGTGCTCTGCATATGAAATAACAGTGTCTGCCCCTTCCATGTTCCATCTCACTCGTGCTTACTTTTTATTTCTAAAGCAATACTTCTCAAACTTTCGTGGGTACACCAATCACCTGGGAGCCCTGTTCCAATGTGGATTCTGATTCTGTGAGTTCAGAGTGTGGGTCAGGAGATTTTCTAACAAGGTCCCAGGTGATGTCCTTGTAGCAAGCCCCAGGCCACACCTGGGAGAGCAAGGCTCTAAAGCACGTACCAGCATCTCACATGATACACACGTACTTGCCCATTCTCTGGCACCCCCTGCCCTCCCCTGGAATGTATAATCCAAGAAGGCAGGGAGTGCTTCTTGTTCACTGCTGCATCCTCAGGTAGATGCTTAGTAGACGCTCGTTAAAGGAGGGGCACTGAGACGGGGCTGGTGCCAGCATGACGAGCCAGGTGATCAGAGATGAGAAGCAGTTCTACTCCAAGGCCGAGATGTACTGGAAGCAGATCCTGCCCACGGTGGACGGCATGCTCGGGGGGTATGGCCACATCTCCAGCATCGACATCACCAGCTCCCGGAAGTTCCTGCAGCGGTTTCTCAGGGACGGCCCGAACAAGACGGGGACGTCCTACATGCTGGACTGCGGCGCCAGCATCGGGAGGATCACCAAGCGGCTGCTCCTGCCGCTCTTCCGAGTGGTGGACATGGTGGACGTGACGGAGGGCTTCCTGGCTGAAGCCAAGACCTACCTGGGCGAGGAGGGCAAGAGGGTGCGCAACTACTTCTGCTGCGGCCTGCAGGACTTCAGCCCCGGGCCCGGCTCCTACGATGTCATCTGGATCCAGTGGGTGATAGGACACCTGACGGACGAGCACCTGGCCAAGTTCCTGCGGCGCTGCAAGCGGGGCCTGTGCCCCAACGGCATCATCGTCATCAAGGACAACATGGCCCAGGAGGGCGTGATCCTGGACGACGTGGACAGCGGCGTGTGCCGCGCGCTGGCCGTGGTGCGCGCGCTCATCTGCAGAGCGCGGGCCTCAGCCTCCTCGCCGAGTAACGGCAGGAGAACCTGCCCGACAAGGTCTACCACGTCTACAGCCTGGCCCTGAGATGAGGGCGCCGGGCCAGGCCGGGCCGGGGCGGGCGTCGGGCTGCCAAATACACACGTGTGTGTCCGCACGGTGCAGGCTCTTCTTCCAACAGGCGCTGGGGGGCCGGGCAGCGCAGCCCACGAAGTCAGTACTCCCACGTGGGAGTCGGGATAAAAAATAAAACCAAAACCAAAACAAAACAAAACAAAACCGAGCATCTTAGTAGATGATCAATTAAAAGTTGAAGAAATGCAGACATGAACTACCATTATCCTTTGTGCAATCTGGCTCTCCATAAAGGTTTTTCTTATAGAGTTGCAAGAAGTCCCATCTGCTGGTGGCTAATCTAGACCTTTTAAATGAATACACTTGCAATCTGGTTTATATATCCATCTCTTGTAAGTTTGGTTAGCATGAGTTGGTTCTCCCGATCCTGCTGAATTCTGGGGACTACAAGAGCTGCAAAACCAGACACTAGACCTCGGAATAGAAAGATCCCACCAGAAAGTGCCATGCACTAAGAACCTGCCTAGGAGGCCAGCCAGCTTCCTCTTCGACTCTAGCCATTGTCAACTTCAAGTGGTCCCTCTTTGGCCATGATCTGCCTATCACTGGCTGCCCTGGAGCCCAGGACACTGTTAGTACAAAAGTGCTTCTTTCCCACCATTTTTATCAGTCCATGATTAATCACGTTATTAACTTCTGAAAACAGCTCATTAGATAATGTGCTTCTGTTGACATTAAACATGTAATTGCTACTGCTTTTAGTAATTCAGTATTTATATGAGTTTTTTCATTAACATTTTTCAAAACTCAGAGCTTCTATGGGAAATATCAATATGCCTTTTTTGGCTAGTCTTTTCTATTCTGAGGGAGAAAAATGTACCATGTACCCTTGTGTACCATAACTGTATACATATTTCACCCGCAAGACAGAAATGTTCACGGGCTCTTGCTTGTACTCAGTCTTATTGTTTTTGTGGATGTGTTTCTTCTTGGTGCAGGAGGTAGAGTTCCCTTCACCTCTACTGAGACAAGGAGAGAATAGACTTCTCTTATGCACATTAATAATTCATGTTAATGGTCAAAATGATATTCACATTAGGTCAACTAAAGTCATCCAAACCAAATATATCCATTGGCATAATGATCTAAAAGGCCAATGTCATGTACAGAGGTGAGAGGGGATGAATGGCTGTTTAAATTGCAAGACTTTCAGTGGAGGACACGTGATCTGAGCACCTAAGGCCCTTTGCCTGTGGGTTCTTCTTCTACCCAGTTCACAGATGAGGAAAGTGAGCCCCGGAAGGCTAGCCATTTTTAGGAAGTTATTTTTCTGAAATGAACCGTCAAATAAACAGCACACATGATTGGGAGTGTGTGCTTCCCTGTGTGTGTACCCCACACCTGGCACTCAACACACATACAGACACACACAGAGGTATCTGTCAGTGGGCACAAAGTCAAAGGGTCCCAGTAAGCTAAACACAGAACAGATTATTCCCATGGGGAGCAATGTGAAAGGAAAAGGAATTCATCCAGAAATGCTTCCCGTGGGTGGGCATCCAGCCTAGTGGTTGAGACACCTACGTTCTCCATCAGAGTGCCAGGGTTCAAGTCCCAGCTCCAGCTTCTTGCTAATACTGACCCTGGGAGGCAGTGACAGTGGCTTGAGTAATTGGGTCCCTGCCACTCACATGGGAGGCCTGGATTGAGTCCTGGCTCCTGGCTTCAGCTGTTGAGAGCATTTGGGGAGTGAACCAGAAGATGGGAGTTCTCCCTATCTGTCTCTCCACTTCTCAAATAAAACATTCCTGACTCTAGTTCATTTTTGTGGCTGTCCCTATGTCTCACATCATCGCTGGTGTGAGTAGACACAGGGATGCATCTCCTGGGGCCAGTAGCTGGTGAGTTCTCAGACCATGACATTCTCCTGCCCAAACCCTCTGGTGGTTTCTTGTTCCACTGGAGGCCAGCCCATGAGGCCCTGGCGATGGTGGCCCTCACTGGAACCCCTGACCTCAACACGACCACTGCCCACTTCCTCAGTGACCAGCTGGCTGGGTCTCCATCCCGTTCCCTCTGGAACACCAGGTCCCCTGAGAGCCTCGGGGACCATTCCCTCCTTTAGATGGTCATTCAAAGGTTATTTTCTCAGTGATCCTCTTAGATGCTTGCACTCAACAGCTTAAAATTGCAACCATTATCTCCTTGGCATTCCCTAGCCCTCCCCTCCCTAATTTTCACCACAGCACTCACTGGTATCTAGCATATTACTTATTTATTTTGTTTACTTGTTCCGCCTTCTCAGGAATGTCAGCTCTGTATGGACAGGTGTGTGTGTGTGTGTGTGTGTGTGTATGCACGCTTGCATGTGTGTGTGTGTGTGTGTGGCTATTTTGTTCCCTGCTATAATCCCAGCAGCTAGAACAGGATCTGACACACAGTAGGTACTTAATACATCATCTGTTGAGGAAATGAACAAGTATGAGTCCTTGTCACCAAAGGGTCAGTCTTTTGCTTTTGTTAAGTGGTGTTTTTCAGAGAAATGTCTGATGCCCATTTACGATACGCTACCATCTGCTTTGATCTGCTTCCCTGTGGGGAGAAAGTTCCTGGTCCATGCACTGGAAACTGCCCCGAAGAGCTTCCCTCCTCAGACCTGGAAAACAGTGAGGTTGCATCCACGACCCAGCCGCTTCTCTAGAGTTAGATGCTGCCCCAACTCCCAGAGGTGATGAGGGTCAAGTGTGCATTATGCTTGGCCACCCACGGCCCTAGAACCAGCCATTGAGAAGGCTCTGGAACACACAGAATGTGGTCACTCTCCCTTCAGGGGAACAATATGTTCACCACTGTGACTCTCAATGAAAAGTCTGACTTCAGATGAATGCCACAGGCTGATTTCAAAACCAAGAGGAAATGGGACTTGGAAAACCTCAGCTCATCTCCTTCTCCATTGGCCTCATCTCCCTCCTCCTCTGCTCCTGGGCAGAGGTACTTCCCAGTGTGTCCTCTCACTCTGCTCTTCTCAAGCAATGTTCTTCCCTGCACACTCACATTTGTTCCGGGATTTTAATTCTACCCTGCATCTGTGCACATATAAAGGTCTATAGAGTTGACCCGAATCTCTTCTGAGATCTGGACTTGAATTCTGAACAGTCTTCCTAACCTTGATAGGACAGTCCTATCAGCATGCCTGACATCCTCTCAGCACCCACTTTATCCCATTGGCAGCCCCTGGTCACCATCTCCTTAAACTCAACATGGCCCAAACAATAAATTACCTTCTCCCTCAGAAACATTTCTGCTGTCCAACCCCCTTTCTACTTCCATCAACAGCACCCCAGTCTCTGTACGACACGGGCTCCCAGCCTCCGAGTCTCCTTTCATTCTTCCCTCTCTCCAGCTCTGCTCCTTAGGGTGAATGAGACCTTGGCTACCATCACTCAGGACTCTCTGGGTGCCCAGGACTCCATGAAGTCCTTTACATCTGCTCTTAATCCTCTGAGCAACTCTACTAGGTAGATGCTTTCTATGTTGCCATTTCAAGATGAGAAAAATGAAGGCCAGAGAGACTCATTAATTTGATTCCAAGCTCCAGAGCTAGAAAGGGGAGGAGTAGGGCTGGGAAGCCAGGTCTGGTCTCCCCCACTTGAGATGCTCTGCCATCAACCTCTCCGCTAGAGTGTCATCCAACCATTCGCCTCTCTCGGGGCCTGGCAGAGGCAATGGGCAAAGGAAGGTTTCTTTGCCTTCATAGGAATAGAGCCAGGAAGTAGCTGGGGCTGGACACCCCAAGATGAAGGAGCTGCGGCACCTGTTTCTAAAGAGCTCAGAAGCGGGCCAGCAGTGGTGTAGTAGATTAAGCCTTGGCCTGTGGCACTGGCATCCAATATGGATGCTGGTTCATGCCCTGGCTGCTTCTCTTTCAATCCAGCTCTCTGTTAACAGCCTGGGGAAGCAGTGGAAGATGGCCCAAGTACTCCCTGCACACACATGGGAGACCAGAAGAAGCTCCTGGCTCCTGGCTTTGGATCAGCATGGCTCCGGCTGTTGAACCAATTGGGGAGTGAACCAGCGGATGGAAGACCTCTCTCTCTCTCTCTCTCTCTCTCTGCCTCTTCTCTCTCTATGTAGCTCTGACTTTCAAACAAATAAATAAATCTTTAAAAAAAAAGTCATTTCAAACTACGATTGCAGAGAGTGACATCCTCACTGTAGGACATGCTGCCCAAGCACACAACACGTGGTCTGGAACATCATGCTGATGCAGGAGTCACACTGGATGAAGGCAAAAGGTGAGGAGGAGAGGAAAGGCACACACCAGGGGTCAGGTGCTTTTATCCCCCATACTTTAGAGGCAGAGAGAAAGACAGACAGATGGATAGACACAGAAGGAGAAAGATCCCATCCCCTGGTTCACTCCTTAAATGCTTGCAAGGGCTAGAAACCACAGGTCTTATTCTACATAGATGTCAGGGGCCCAGTCACTTGAGCCTTCACTTGTGCCTCCCAGGGCTTGCATTAGCAGGAACCTGGAGTCAGGAACCAGGCATTGGAGCCCAGGACTCTGATGGTGGATGCAAGCATCTTAACTGATGTGTCTTAACCATAGGCCAGATGCCCACCCCAGATGCCAGGTCCTTAGGGTTCATGAACACCAACCAGGAGACCCATGGAGATGTCCTTCCATGTCTTTCCATGCTCAGGGTAGTGCCAAACACTTCCAAAACACAATCTCCACCCTCCTCCCCTCCCCTCTCCTCACTTTCCTTACAGCTCTTGTTTGGGTCCCCAATGCCTGGGACACCACAGAGCTTGCTTCCCCACGGGTCCTGCCACCTCCTGTCTCCTTCCATCCAGACATGGTAACCAGCTGTCCTCTCTAAATTGGAGGCGGTCCCCGGATTTTACTCCCCTGCTCAGAGATCTCCAGCAGCTCCCCCCAGCCTGTCCTCTTGGGACCATCTCTCCCTCACTCGCCAGTCAAGGCTGAGTCTCCCAGCCAGTTCGCCGTTCTAATCCTCCCACTCCTCCACCAGGCAAGCTGAACTCCTTGGTTTCCGGTTCACCTGGTACATCTCCCCTCCATTCTTTTGCTCCTCCTGCTTCCCCTTTCTGGAGCACCTCCCTTCCACTCCCTACCCGCCCCTGCTGAAGTCTTAGTGTTGAGGTCAGAACTCAGGCTTGAGGTCGGATCCAGATACATACTTCACTACCTTAGTCTATGACGCTGAGCAGATTATCGAATGTTTCTCAGCCTTGGTTTTCTCTTCTGTCATTTGGAGCTAAGTAAGCATTGCCCCAGTGAAGCAGAGTGGAAAAATAAAGAGGAAGGAACCACAGAGCAGCGGCTCACTGAGGCAGCAGCTGCTTAAAGACCCTCCTGCTGTTTCTTCTTTCCCAGTGGCTCTTCCAGGCAAACCTTCCCGCTGTGGTTGCCTGGGTCACTATGTCCTCCCACAGCTGCTGCCTGCAATGTCTCCTATTGCATCTGCATCAACTCGCCTGCTCCTTAAAGGCAGGAGCAGGTCTCTCCCATTTCTTAGTCCTCAGCCCTAAGCTCAGTTCATAGCACCCAGTAAATGTCTGTGAGATCAAATGAGCTTCAGTTCCTCCACACACCAGCGTGACTTCTCACAGCCGTTCACTAGATTCCACAGAGGAGGAAGAGGGGTGGGACAGCGATTTCACTACCATCATTCCAGTTTCCCAACACAAAACCTAGTGCGTCACACAACACAGACAGCAGCCGATGGATTCCACACAGAGGTGCTCAGCTCTGAGTTTGGGGGATCACTTTGGCAAGGAACACTTAATGGCACGAAAAACATGGAAGGAAAGGACTATCCCCTTACGGTCAGCTTGCAGGAGGACGACGTGATGCAGGGTCAAGGCCATCCTTTGGGAGTCAATGGTGCTGAGGATCTTGGCTGCTGCAGTCCCCAGCAGAGGCTTCCCGTTGTACAGTGTGTAGTAGGTCAGCTCCGCGGGGTCCTTCGGTCCTGGCACACGCTGCATCTTGACCATCTTTTAGAGAAAGACAGGCCCCATGTTTACAGGGCATCTTGCTCCGAGCCCGCAAGCTGCAGGCAACCGGCAGGCTCTCCTCTCCCCGCGGCTGAAGGCTCCGGTGGCTAAGCAGACCCACAACGTCTCTACCAGACCTCAGCCATTGAGTACCTCCCTGGATCCAGCCTCTCGGGCGCCTGCTGTGGCTGGAGCAGGGGACTGCGAGGAGAAACAAGGTTCTGAAAAATATGAGCCTCTGAGCAAGAACAAGTTGAGGTTAGGAAAGAAGATATGGGACAGTGGCGCGTCCCCAGAACTCCGGCCTCGTTTGAAAGTAGGCCTCCCCACGAATTCAGGGCATGTCAGGTTGCTCTCAGGCACGATTTTTAATTTCAAATCCCTGCAATTGCCACAAAGGGGAGAAAAGTAACTTGCGTGTCTAGAATTCAGCAGACCTCTGATAAAAGCAGGACTGCGAAACTCTTAAGTTCTTTCTCTAAAAGAACATTTTTGATTTTTTTTTTTACCCTGCAAGTTTTCTATATTTATTACAGGACAACCCGAAGATACAGAACAGCATCAAGAAACGAAATAAAACAAAAGCTTCCTATAATCCTACCACAAACTAATTCCTGGCACCATTTTGGACTATTTGCTTCTATTTGTTTTTTTCCATGAAACTTCCCTTTCCTATTGTACAAAGTTATTTATCATATTCTGTATATCATAACTTGCTCTTTTTACTTAAATATAAAAAGGATAAATGCTTATTTCTCTGCGAATTCCAATGCCTACCTCATAGACTTATTTAGCAAATCCTTTATTGTTAATCATTTAGCTTGTCACTAGTTCTTCACTAGTGCAATTAACAATTGATAATCTGGCTCACTAGGCTAATCCTCCACCTGCGGTGCCAGCACCCCAGGTTCTAGTCCCGGTTGGGGCGCTGGGTTCTAGTCTCGGTTGCTCCTCTTCCAGTCCAGCTCTCTGCTGTGGTCCGGGAGTGCAGTGGAGGATGGCCCAGGTCCTTGGGTCCTACACCCGCATGGGAGACCAGGAGGAAGCACCTGGCTCCTGGCTTCAGATCGGCACAGCGCGCCAGCAGCAACGTGCTGGCCATAGTGGCCACTTTGGGGGTGAACCAACGGAAAAGGAAGACCTTTCTCTCTGTCTCTCTCTCTCTCTCCCTGTCTAACTCTGCCTGTCAAAAAAAAAAAAAAAGTTGATAATCAAAAATGTCAATACTGGCCGGCGCCGCAGCTCACTAGGCTAATCCTCCGCCTTGTGGCGCAGGCACACCGGGTTCTAGTCCCGGTGGGGGGCCGGATTCTGTCCCGGTTGCCCCTCTTCCAGGCCAGCTCTCTGCTGTGGCCAGGGAGTGCAGTGGAGGATGGCCCAGGTGCTTGGGCCCTGCACCCCATGGGAGACCAGGAGAGGTACCTGGCTCCTGCTATTGGATCAGTGCGGTGCGCTGGCCGCAGCGCGCTGGCCGTGGCGGCCATTGGAGGGTGAACCAACGGCAAAGGAAGACCTTTCTCTCTGTCTCTCTCTCTCACTGTCCACTCTGCCTGTCAAAAAATAATAATAATAAAAAATAAAAAATGTCATTACTGACATAGTATTCTGTTGTATGAATGCCTGGTAAATTTTCTAACACTTTATTATTGAACACTTAGGCTGCCAACCTTTTTCTATTACAATTAACAATCAATAAACCTTACAATGTAATATAATATTTTCCAAAGTATATATTACAAGGTATGAGTTTCATAGGATATTAAAGATAATACAAAAATGTTTATAGCAACATTGTTCAAAATAGTAAAAAAAAAAGACCCTGAAAATTCAAAATATATTAATAGGAGGTGAGGTAAATGAGGTATGGTACAGTTACCCAATGAAAAACTACAGAGAAGTGCAAGTGAATGAACTAGGCTATATTCATACCAATATGGCTAAGAATATAAGGCTGATATTAAGTAAAAGACACAAATCACAGAGCATAAAATTCCAAATCAGACAAAACTACATGACATACAGTTTAGGGATACACATATGGATAGTAAAAACTCTAGACAAGAAATACGGAAATGAGTTAATACAAAATTCAGGATCTTGCTCAATTCTGAGAAGGAAGGGAGAACCATCAGAGAAACCAATAATAGGCCGCAGGGGTGAGACAGGAAGGAATAGTGACACTCTTACCTTTCAGCTTGTGAGTGTTTAGTTTCTTTAAGACCTACACGTTTTACATTCTTTTGATTGTATGCTATATACATAATAATTTAAAAATAGCTATTACTATAATCCAATTAAAATGTGCAAAATATCTGATCAAAAAATTTCACAAAGGAAGATAGCTGAATAACCAACAAAGCACATGGGGAAATTCAAACTACAGGACGATATATACACTGACCAGAATGACTAAAACAAGCAGGACTGGCAACACCAAATGTTATAGAATATGGAGCAACTGGAATTCCCCTGGATGGTGGGACTGTGGAATGTATCAGTGTCTTATAGAACAAACACTTACCAGCCCTAAGAACCAACATAAGGGTCTCTATATACATGAAGTGTTAGAAATTGAAAACCAACTTTTGATTTGGAAGTATAGGAAATGCATGTTATGGAAAGTGTATGGAAATGATACACATTATCAAATACATAATACAAACCTATGCTAATTGCAGAACCTGTATAGTGAATACGTGGGTATTCGCTGCATACTTTTTCAATGGTTTGAGCTTGAAAATGTTCAAAATAAAATGTTATAATGTAGATATTATTAAGAAACAAGAGTGTCATTGATAATTACATTTGGAAGCCAGTATGTTGAACAAAATCAAAGGTATTTCTTTATGTCAGGTCTATTTAGAGTTGTAGGAGGCAAATATGCTTTGGATATCTTCAAGAAGGGGTTATAGTATGCAGCCTTGCCCAGACTTGTTTGGCCAGAGAGACTCTGCCTTAGGGCACCTGATAGGGTTAGTTCCTATACACTCTCTGGAAATCACTGCCCTCATCCATTTGTCTTTGTGTTCACCTCTATCTTCTCTAAATAAGGTTCTAGGAGTCAGATGTGACCATCTATGTTAGCCTACTTTTCATCACTACAATGAAATGCCTAAGACAAGCCATTTGTGAAGGAAGGAGGTTGGTTTCAGATTCCCCATCCTCTGTTCACAGACAGCCCCACTGGTTCAGCTACTGGTGATGGTGCTGTCTAGCTGAGTTCTCAGGTGGCCCAAAACATCACAGGGCAGGAGGGAGCACCTGTGTCTGTCTCTGTCTCTCCTTCTAAAGTCACCAGGATTATGTCATGGGAACTCCATCCCAATGATCGAGTTCAACCTAATCACCTCCCAAAGGTCCCACCTCTACCTACCACAAAGTTTCTACCCTCTTAGTACCACGAGTGTATATAAAGATTTGGGAACAAGCCTTTAACACATGGGCAGTCTGGGGATACCCAAACTTGTGGGGAGCAACTGGGAGCAACTCGGACTAGACTAAGTTACTGGAATTAAGACTTATTCTATGCATCTGCTCTCCCACAACATGGCGCTGGGAGAGGAGAAAACAGCTTTTACGCAGCTGCCTCTTGCCAACTTGAGTGATGACCTCCAGGAGCTGATCCTGCTCCTGATTGGAGGAGAGCAGCGTACTCGGCGTGTGGGCAGCCGAGTTGGGGTTGGCGGAAGAGGACTATAAAGGAGGAGAGAGACAACATGCACCAGGAACATCTAAGGGGAACATCTATCTGAAGGAACACCTGTGCAGCCCCCAAGAGAGCCGGCCGGCGGTGTGCCGCTCCCCCGCGGAAGTGGGGAAAGTGGCCAGGGGGAACCGCCCTTCCACGGAGGTGGAAGGGATGGTAGCCAACCTGGGAAGAACCAGCAGCAAACCCGGGGAGGGCCGAGCAGACGAAAGAACAGCGCAGGGTCCTGTGTTGCTCCTCCATGAAGAGGGGGAGCGACATAATGGTGCCGTGACTCGGATATGAAGCCTAGGCAGGGCTTAGTGTTGTTCCTCCACGAAGAGGGGGAGCGACATAATGGTGCCGTGACTCGGATAAGGGAAACCTAGGAGGGAAGAAACGGGAAGAAGTGGGAAAATACTGGAGAGAGAGACTAGCAAAGAGCCTAGGGAAAAGCCGGACGGAAAAGGTGCCGGAAGAAGCTATTGAAAGCCTAGGCATAGACTCGGATATGGACTGTGGGAAAGAAGTTAGGATTGAAAGTGAAAGTGAAAGCTTTCATAGACTCGGATGCGGACTATGGCGGGGAAGCTAGGAGATTGAAAGTGAAAGTGAAACCTGGAGGAGGCTTGGACTCGGATGCGGACTGTGGGGAGAAACCGGGAGAAATGAGAGGGGAATATTGTTGTTGGAAGAAAAGTTAGGGAAACATACCGGGTAGAGAAAAATGTTAGGGAAATTGAAGCCACGGGGGCAGGCCGAGGCGGAGACGTAAGCCAGCTTGGAATTCTTCAAGTCAGCCCGGGGAGCAAAAGGCGAAAATCTGGAACCAGAGGCAGAGACGTGGGCTGCCAGGTTGGAATTCGCCAGGTTAGTCCGGGGAACTTGGACTGAATGCCAGTGGCGGAAACGTGAGCTACGCTGTGTGATTCGCGGAAGCCGCCGCGTGCAGAGAGAGCACGGGGCGTGAATAGATAGGGAACGCGGGGCTGGCGCAAAGGCCGTGGTGCGGGCGCGAAGGGCGTGGAGACCACGGAGTGCGCAAAGCCGAGCCGCGCAGAGCCGGGAGCCCGCCGCAGGGCGGGCGCCGGGAAGCCGCGCAGATGAGAGAAGTGCGGGCTGAAGCGGCGCTAAGCCGGGAAGCCGCCGCGGGGCGGCGAGGCGCCGAGAAGCAGCCTCGGGGCGGGCGCCGGGAAGCCGCGAAGATAAGAGAAACAGAAGTTTAGAAGTAAAATGAGAGAAATAGGAATGCTGGCAGATAGAAGTAAAATAGGAGAAATAGGAATGCCCGGAGATAGAGAAATAGAGAAAAATAAGGCCTCCCCACAACACGGCAATGAGAGAGCTTGGATTCGGTCTGCCTGATTAGTAAGACGATAAGCACCTGTGGACGGCTAGCAGCTTATGCGCCGCAGGTCACCGAAGACAGGCACGAATTAACATCAATAAGTCTCCCTACAAGACGGCAATGAGAGGGCTTGGATTCGGTTTGCCTGTTTGCTAGGGCTTGTAAGCACTTGCAGGCAGTTCTAGCAGAGCAGAGCATGCGCTGCAGGGCACCGAACACAGGCACGCATCAAGCGCTTAAAAACCTCCTCACAACATGGCGAAGAGAGGACCCGGATTCGGTTTGCCTTATTGGTAGGGCTTGTAAGCACTTGTGGACAACTCTGGCAAGCAGAGCAGAGTGTGTGCCGCGGGGCACCGAAGACAGGCACGTATCAATGCCAAAAATAAAAAGAAAGGGGGATCTGTGGGGAGCAACTGGGAGCAACTCGGACTAGACTAAGTTACTGGAATTAAGACTTATTCTATGCATCTGCTCTCCCACAATATGGCGCTGGGAGAGGAGAAAACAGCTTTTACGCAGCTGCCTCTTGCCAACTTGAGTGATGACCTCCAGGAGCTGATCCTGCTCCTGATTGGAGGAGAGCAGCGTACTCGGCATGTGGGCAGCCGAGTTGGGATTGGCGGAAGAGGACTATAAAGGAGGAGAGAGACAACATGCACCAGGAACATCTAAGGGGAACATCTATCTGAAGGAACACCTGTGCAGCGCCCAAGAGAGCCGGCCGGCGGTGTGCCGCTCCCCCGCGGAAGTGGGGAAAGTGGCCAGGGGGAACCGCCCTTCCACGGAGGTGGAAGGGACGGTAGCCAACCCGGGAAGAACCAGCAGCAAACCCGGGGAGGGCCGAGCAGACGAAAGAACAGCGCAGGGTCCTGTGTCGTTCCTCCACGAAGACGGGGAGCGACACAAACTGATATCCAAACTACAGCACCATCCAAAAGGTTCTCAACTAAATTACTCATGTTGGGGCCGGCACTGTGGCGCAGTGGGTTAATGCCCTGGCCTGAAGCACTGGCAACCCATATGGGCGCCGGTTATAGTCCTGGCTGCTCTTCTCCAGGTCCAGCTCTCTGCTATGGCCTGGGAAAGCAGTAGAGGATGGCCTAAGTCCTTGGGCCCCTGCACCCACAAGGGAGACCTGGAAGAGGTTCCTGGCTCCTGGCTTCGGATCGGCACAGCTCCAACCATTGTGGCCATCTGGGGAGTGAACCAGTGGATGGAAGACCTCTCTCTCTGTATCTACCTCTCTCTCTCTGTAACTCTGTCTTTCAAATAAATAAAATTAATTTAAAAATAAAATTAAAAATTAAAAAACTAAATTGCTCATGTGCCCTCCACAAAGGCCATTCCCGGTTACTCTGTTTAAACATGTCTGATTCACTGCATTCTCCTCACACTGGAGAGTATCAGTTTACTGAACTTTAGTGGGGAAAATAGCATCTTGTAGTAATTAAAACTTGTGTTATTTTGACAATCAGTGTAGTCAAACATTTAAAATGCTTACTGGTTATAGGTAGTTTTGCTTAGGACTTCTCAAATATATTAACTAGAGAAATATCTTTAGATTCTAGACTAAATCTCCATATTCATGAAAGTAGATCATTTTTAAAAATTCTCTGAGCTAAGATGAAAGGCCTCTGGGCAAGAGATGATATAAACTAGGTAGAGTGAATTTTGGTGGTTGTGGGTTGAGGGGCAGGAAAGACTTGGACATATTAATCCTTTCCCTAGCGGGAAGGAATGGAGACAGTGTTAGCACAACAAGGTATAGGTGAGTGATCATTCCAATGTCTACTAACTTGGCTCAATTTAAATTTAATAGTGAATTCTTAGGCCGGCGCCGTGGCTCAATAGGCTAATCCTCCACCTTGCGGCGCCGGCACACCGGGTTCGTGTCCCGGTTGGGGCGCCGGATTCTGTCCCGGTTGCCCCTCTTCCAGGCCAGCTCTCTGCTATGGCCAGGGAGTGCAGTGGAGGATGGCCCAGGTGCTTGGGCCCTGCACCCCATGGGAGACCAGGAAAAGCACCTGGATCCTGGCTCCTGCCATCGGATCAGTGCGGTGCGCCGGCTGCAGCGGCGGCCATTGGAGGGTGATCCAACGGCAAAGGAAGACCTTTCTCTCTGTCTCTCTCTCTCACTGTCCACTCTGCCTGTCAAAAAAAAAAAAAATAGTGAATTCTTAAGATTTCTCTGAGGGTGATGTTACAAGGTGATCTACAACCTATTAAATGAGGGTTTTGCAGAAATAAGTCCCTACTTGCTTCACTGAAGTTTTCCAGGCAGCTGCAGGTTTCAGGGGCCACGTGCACTGAGCACCTTCAAGGAAGGAGAGAAAGAACACCCCCTTGAGCCGTGCAGAACGTGTCAGTCCCTCAGACAAAGGACCCCAGGACTGTAGCGTGCTCCTCTCTCCCCCTACAGCTGCTGCAAATCCCATTTCACAGTCTGAGTATCACTGACTTCCTTTCTGTCATGTGGAGAAGCATGGATTTAGAGTTTACATGGAGCCTACACAGGGGAAATCACGTACCTGGTGCACAAAATTCACCATGACTTTCCCTGTGGTAAGGTCATCACAGACCACAAAGACTTTGAATCCCAAGCCAATCTGCATTAGGACAGGGGCCAAATCCACCACTGTGAGTGGAGAGACCTGGAGTCTGGGTCAGGGGTGTGATAGACTCATGCGAGCAAATGTTTTCCAGAAGATTGCCCAGGGATGTGATCTACAGACAGATTGTGCTCGAGTCTGCAATTTCCCGTAAAACACTTCTGCATGGATAGCCTGATGCCCTGCAAGCACGCTGCGGTTCAGTTACACGCCAGATGTGGTCCAGCACAGGTGGGGAGTCCACACGCCTCCAGAAGCTGGTCAGGTTCCAACCAGGGAAGCCCACCCTCCTGACTTTGAGGCAGCTACCAGCAGTGTCTCTGTAACTTGGCACCCTGCTCACCAGAGCTTTGTCACTCGGCATAGCAAATGTTGGAGACAGATTCTCATTGGAGAAGTTAGTAGTATTCAAGAACTGTGGATTGGCTAGAATATGCTAGGGACACTCCCCTCTGGCAGGAAGTGGGGAAGGGGTGTAGGGAGGCTTAGAGGCTCTTCCTGTGGGGATGGTTACTGCCTTGATGGGCTCCCTCAGCAGTGAGCCCTGTGAAGAGCTGAGTCATTACGGTTTATTTGAGGGGTACACGGAGGAGATATAGGAATGAGAAAAGCCAGCAAGAGCAGTGTCATGAAGCCAGCTACCACAGGAGGGTGACTAAAGCTTAATTCTGCAGGAAAGCTCTGGGAAGAGCCTATAACACACATTTCAGACTTCTCCTAGGCAACAGCCAGGGGAGCGGTGGTATTTATATCCCCATCACTGGTTAAGTCCCAGGCACTTCTGGCCATCATGGCATGGGAAAAGCAGGTTCTGGCATCCCAATAGTGGACCTTCCAATCAACATTAGAGGACGGTGTTGGAGCTCTTACAGACACAGCAATGGTCAGGGGATGTGGCACTAGGGTCCTCCTCATCTCCTGGTCATGTGACTGATACAAGGCTCAGCTCTGCTTGTTGATGCCAGTTCCTGCATTTAGAATACTGGTGCAGCAATGATGGGGAGAGAGCCTAACAGGACAGAGATCCAGGACATCGCTGAACTTACAGGTTGATGGACAGTTTGCATTTGCTTCCTAGTAACTTTTTGTTTTCTGAATGTTTGCATGCGTGCAGATGTTAAGAGACCTCCTTTCCTTATATGAAGGTATGTCAAAGAGTTTGTGGAAAATGGCATTAGAAGATGTTTATCTTGTTGCCAAAGATTTCTGGAATCCATGCATATGAAGAATCTTCTAAAAGTTCATGAATAGCATGCATTATGAAAAACTTTACATGGGTTTCAAATTTTTTGTGCCAAAATAAACATATCTTGCAATATTATTATCCCATGAGCTTTTGAAGTATCATCTTCATCTGGGTAGTGTCCGTGGAGGAGGAGCCAACTCCCACCCTCTGTCTTATTTGTGATGGGTTCTTATTGTGAGAGTTATGACCCTCAAGCCCCAGGACCTCAGAGCAGTGCTGAGTCAGCTGCTGAGTCAGCATGCAGCATGGATGGCCCTCTGTGCATGTGTATTTACCCCTGACAGTGATTCCAAAACCCCAGTGGCTTTGCACACACCCACCTGCACAGTGTAGCTTCCCAGGGTGGTGGCCCGTTTAAACCGCCGGCCTTGTTGCTGGGACATCATGAACAGCTGGGCCAGGCGCTGCTCCATGACCCGGGCGAAGCTCTGGTTGTGCAGGCCCACCAGCGAATTGTCCACGCCCTGCAGCACTGCGGACACAGAGGGCAAAGGGGATGCTCACAAGACAGACTCTGACGACTCAGCAGCCACACCCTGCCCCTGCCCTGCCCCTGCCAAGGGCTACCATGCTATACCTCCTGTTAGGGCATGGCCATCCTAGGTCACTTCACCTTCAGCACTGGGGAGGAGTTAGGAACTGTTATGCACATTCTATAGATGCTGAACAGGTTAAGTGATGAAGTGTCTAAGGCCACACAACTGTAACCAGCGGAATCAGGGCTCACGCCCAGGCCAGGCTTGCGTAACTTCAAAGCCAGGGCTCTTTCTTCTATGAGCTGTGACATCACTAACGCTGCTCTATTAAACTCCACTTTTATTTAAAATGAACGGTGTTGCCAAGAGTCCATATGGGAACCCAGCAGGGCTGCAAGTACAGCTAAGTGTTTTTTTCCCCTGCTTTCTGCTCAGAAGCCATGGCTCAAGGCTATCCCTATGTCATTTTTTCTTCTCAGCAGCTTTACTTTGGAATCTCAGCTCTATCCCTTCTAGCAGCAAACCACCCCTTCCAGTGTCCTCATCACTCCCTTCTCTATGGGGTCCTTTGGGTGCCCACCTGCAAAGCTGCCCAGGGCCCTCAGCTCCTGTCCATTCCAGAGTAGGACAGCTTAATGAGTGGGCTTCCTCCCTGCTCTGGCACTTGCCAGGGGCAGTGTGCAGGCAAGTGACCAGCCCTCTGCGAGACCAAGCCCTTCTCTGTAGAAAGGGAATTGGGACACGGACATCACAGCAAACATGTGCCTAATGAGCTCAGATTTCAATGAGACAAGATGTAGAAGCGGCTTAGCACAGTGCCTGGTGCATGGATGGCAACAGACCTCCTTTCTCTCCCATTCCTCCTCTCCTACCAGGCTTCAGTGAGAGCCAGGGCACCTGAGTCCATAGGTGAGGCATTAGTGATGAAGTTCTAGGTCAGGGCTAGTGAACACTGCGGCTGTCCCAGGGCTGCTGCGGCCACTTACTATGGGGACAGTTGACATTTTGTGTCCACCTCCAAAGTCCAGTTCTCTCTCCACATCCCCTTGGGAAGCACACTTCATCTCAAAAGTGCAAACTCCATCTTCAAGCACAGTCATGTCTAAATTTAAAAATGCCAACAACAATTCTCACTTCCCTAAAGAAACCAAACCTTACCAGAACTGGAAACATGATGTCAGATTTTTCATTTAAAAGAATGTTCTATCACAGTCCAGCCAAGGATCATTAATCCGTTCCATCTACCTGTAGGTGGACATGGCTTGGAGATGACCAACATGTTGAAGTCATGGCATCCAGTGCAAGAGGGTCTACCATGCAGCCCACATGGGGCAAGACCAAACAGTGGATAACAACGAGATACAAAAAGGATGTTTAAATGGATCAAGAGAAGCATAAGACCCACAGCTGGGTCTCTGAAATGACTTATTTGAAGCCATAAATGTCAAGTGATCCTCCTGGAGGGGATAAAGCAGCTCTTTCCAGGGCCCTGGTGAGGGACTCCCAGCCCATCTGTCAGCCAAATTCCTGAAAACAAAAATGAAACACTGCACACTGTGACAGGTCCCAGACAGGACCCCAGAATCCTGCGTGACATAGACGGCAGGCCAAGGAAGAGCAGACCCACATCCTGGCCCCAGATGCGAAAGCCTGTGGATTTGTTGGTTCAAGGATGCTCACTCCAAGAAAGTCACACGTCTAACCACTGAAGTACTACTTCTAAGTTGTCCTCTCCTGGCCTCTGGACAAGAGAGAGGGGACACAGGACAATGGAGGGGCACCATCACAGGTTATTGTACAGGAATCTCGGTGATGATGCAAAAGAAGATACCACATAAAGAGAAGTCAAACATTCTCAGGGGATGAAGAAGTTCTGGAAATGGGTAGCAGTCTTGGTTGCATGATATTGCTAATATATGTAATAGCACTGAATTGTCCACTTAAAATGGCTAAGAAATTTTATAATAAAAATAATTGAGGGGTCGGCACTGTGGTATAGTGGGCTAGGTCTCCGCCTGTAGTGCTGAAGTCCCATACAGGCGCTGGTTCGTGACCCAGTTACTCCTCTTCTGATCTGGCTTTCTGCTGTGCCCTGGGAAGGCAGCAGAGGATGGCCCAAGTGCTTGAACCCCTGAACCCATGTGGGAGACCCGGAAGAAGCTCCTGGCTCCTGGCTTCAGATCAGTGCAGCTCTGGCTGTTGCAGCCATCTGGGGAGTGAACCAGCAGATGGGAGACCTGTCTCTCCCTCTCACTGTCTGTAACTCTACCTCTCAAATAAATAAAATCTTTAAAAAAAAAGAGAGAGAGATTGGGGGAGAGAAAAAGGGAGTGCAGGTGGATGTGATTCATAGGTTACAGTGAATCAATAAGTGGGTAATTCCCACATGCTTCATTGCAGGCATTTGCAGAGAGAATGATGGGTTCTTTCAGAAGGCAGCTGAGGAAGAGTTAGAGGCAGGGGCCTGGATTTGAGTCCTGGCTTGTGCAGATTGAGTGCTCTTGGGTAAGTGGCTGAGTTTCTCTGGGCCTCAGTCCCTCCTCTCCTCCTGATTATGCTTTGTCAAGAACAGATTGTTCAATTAAAAAATGCTTCTTGGGTCAGGCAATAAGGCATTGACAGGAGGCCAATAAATGGAGCTGTCTTTGCTGTCACAAGGTTCCCCCTGCTTTGCAAGACACATCCTGACCAGAGGCAGGGGAAGCACGGAAACGAGCCCAGGACATGTTCGGCTCCCTTCTCTGAGCAGAGCTCAGGCCTTGGTCTCCTTGGCCCTCTTTGCCCATCCTGAGGGTGGGGGACAAGGCTATTACACACAACTCTCTCAGTGGCCCAGAACCTGCAGAGTTGTGACAACTTGAGCCCCTTGACAGATCACCCAGAGCCCTAGCCTCCTATCCTGTACCACCACTGGAGGACAGCAAGCTCCCGGCTGTGTTCAAAGCTTTGTCTGCAAGATTCCAAGGATTTTTCCATCACTATTCTCTTATTCCTCCTGTATGCACTATTCATCACATCGATCTATCATAGAAATTTTCTGTGTGACATGGACATTCAGACCCAAATATCAACCAATTGTTAAATATCTACTTAGGTTCCTCATGACTATCTACAGGCATACTGGGACCTAAAGATCAAACGAGCAGGCCTGGCTCAATTTGCTGTCCTCAGACTAAACTGTTTCATTGTGGTTGAATCCTACACATTTGGAGCTGCAAGAATCTCAGTGCTCAGTTCATAGAAGAACCTCTCCCCCATTCTAAAGGGGACAGGTGAAGTCCAGAGTGCCTAGGGGCCTTGCTCAAGGACACATCAGGTTGGCAAATAGCAGAGCTGAGACCAGATCGCTAGGTCTGGGATATTTGCACTCTGGTGGATGGAACAGAGATGGTTTAACAAACTGGAGCTAGGCTCTCACCTGTCAGGCAGCAGTGTTGAGTCTGTATGTTGCTTTTTTGCCTCATGTGTACAAACCCGACTGCAGGACCCCGGATGGCAAAGTAGCCCCTAGGTTCCCTATGAAGAGGGGCTGCAAGAGTCACCCTGCACCAGTGATTTCCCATCAAGGAGGGACCTACTTTCTGGGAGAGGAGAAGTGCACCTAGTGCAGAAACATGTTCAATAGAAATTTCATTGGAGAATACGTCAGGGTTGTACAATACACAAACCATAGAAAAGGGAGTTGTTCCAAATCCTTCTGGCTCTTAGCAATGGGTGCAAGACCCACAGCCCGTGATCAATGTCTTGGAGTCAATGTTGGACAAAACTATCTCAACACGCAGTGTCCTGTCCCTTCTGCAAGTGACAGGACAGGTTGGTGGTAGTCACGGGTCAAAGAGAAGGCAGAAGGGTCACTCTGACACCTGATTCCAGCCCTTCCAAAAAAGCACTAACCAACTGACCCAACGAGCCCCAAATACAGAGATGGAGGCCCTTACTCCCAACAGTACCCAGGGTGGTGTAAGCACCAGGAAAGCCCTGAAGACAAGACAAAGTAGCCAGCTTTCTCTTATACCATCAAGACAGAGGCAGGGTAAGACATAGGCAGAGGAGGAAGAATGACCCAGGAGAAGGTCAAGTACAGCCTGTATTGAAGTGAGGCTGTGTTCGCCTTTAACGTAACCTCTGAAGTTCATAGAAGGGGAGAAATACCTGCAGGTTTCCCACTCCATTCCTTGAAGAGGAAACATGATTTTGTAAATGTTACATAACCGGCTAGCTCCAAAATTGTGTTGCTGGGTTACCATCATCTCTCCCCTGGGCATAAACTCTGGTGATTTGTCGTATGATTGTTGTTATTTTCAATGCGTTTCTTCATTTGCTTTCTTAGCAGGTAAAACAATCTCTGCCTATCTATGGCTCTGCAGGGGGGAAGGACATGGAATTTTCTGCCATTTAGATGAGGCCTTGAGCAGGCTTCATCAAGCAGGGATGTGCACCCCCTCTCAGTATTTCAGGCAGCAGCCCATCTGCTTCGGCCAGCAAGTGAGGGAGGGGACTCGAGAGGGAAGGAGGGAAGCTGACACCAGCGCACTGTCCAGGCACGTCTTCTTGGACCTGTGGGATTTTCCCCCCTCTTTGTTAAGGGCTAACTCTTCTCCATCCAAATTCATCGTTGAAGTCCTAACACCTCAGAATGAGACTGCATTTACAGACAGGATCTTTAAAAGGTAATGAAGTTCCAATGGGGCCATCAGAGCAGGACCTAAATCCAGTGTGGCTGACTAGGGTGCAGACACCCACAGAGGTAGGCCATAGCTACTGGGAGAAGAAAGTTGTCTGCAAGCCGAGGAGAAAGGCCTCCAGAGAAGTCACATTTGGGACACCTTGATCTCAATCTTGCAACCTCCAGAGCAGCGAGCAAGTCCACGTGTGCTGTGTAAGGCACCTGCGCTGTGGGGCTTCATCGTGGTAACCCCTGGAGACTCTCGCACCTCTCCAGTGACCCTTCCTCTTCTCTCCTGGGCTGCTCACTCGGCCTCCTACCAACATCTTCCTTCTCCCTTGCACTCAATCCTTGTTCCTCTCATTTTCTGAGCTATTGCCTGGCTTTTGAAAAACTGAAACAAGAACTTCTTTACTGCTTCACAAAGCTCAGCTGCAAAATGTCAAGGGAAAAAAAGAAGGAGAAACCACCACCCAAACACCCTCCTACTCCCATCCACCCTCACTGTCAGGCCACTCCAGGATAAGTGTGGGTGTGGAACTCACGCCAGGGAGGGACACAAGTACATGCCCATCACTCCCTGACTTTAATTGGGGTTTTATGGGGCAGTGCACAAGTGCTGACCCCCAAGGAGCACAGAACCAATTACGTGGGAAGGCCCTAGACGTGCACCGGTGAACACTGTAACGTTTCTCAGGTCCGCTTTTTCTGCAAGAGACTCTGGGTAGGGACTTTAAAGGGAGCTGCTTGAATGTTTCTCTACTATTTATACTCAGCTTACTCCATCCACTTCTGGGCCTGTAGAAGTAACCCCGTGAAAGGTGCCAATCCTACTGCTGTAGGCTATGCAGCTCTAAAACACAAATCAAGGAGAGAGACCAAGATGGCAGAATAGGGAGGGAGCTTACTGCTCTAATCTAGAAAATAGTAAAACAAAAACAAAAACAAAAAACATGGAGAGCGTGAAATCTCAGGGAAGAGCTGGGTAGAAAACAGCAGAGCAAACTCCATGTAAATTGGAGGGACACCGTAGATCTACATTGAGGGTGTGGGCACGCACAACTCAGGTCTCCAGCAGCCAAGAGCCTCAGCACCAGCTTTGGAGAGTGAGGTGAGACCAGATTGTAGCAGGCCAAGCCACTGGCGATAAAGCTGCGGGAAGAGCCTGGCATGTGTTCGGCTTAGAACCTTGCAGGGGACAGTGTACCTGCTAACCTAGAGGAAAAAATGGGGGTGCATTTCTCTTTCCCCAACCACCTGGCATCAAGGAGAGGGCTGGTGCCATTTTGAACATACATATAGCTGCACCAGCACCTGTCCATGTGCCCAGCAACCAGCTGAGCAGAGACACCTGAGTCTGGCTGGGAGAACTGACAGGGGGCTGGGTGCTCATGGTTGTGGGAGCCTTGTGTACTGGGATTTTGAAAACACTGTGGCTGCATGGGAGGGCACAGGGTGTGGCTAGGTCTTTGGGCAGTCACTGTGGGTGACTCCACACACTCAGGGCTCCCTGATTCCCTGGTGAAGGTCATTGCTGCAGGATCTGTGCTCACATTGAGGACTGCACAGATCTGGTGTATGGTTCTTGTGGCAGCATGAAATATTATACTCTCTGGGACTCCTTGGAGGAGAGAAGGCAAGCATGGGACTACAGCAATAGAGGAGATTAAACCTCCCCTCTGATAAAAAGAGAGAGAGAGAGAGAGAGAGAGAGAGAGAGAGATTTACCACCCAATTTAGGAGTCACCTTAGACACCCCTCTAACCTTGGAGCACTGAGAAGAACTCCCTGGCCACACCCAGCACATGCCTCAGGGTATTAACTAAAAGAGCAGGCACTCCACTAAGCCACAGAGGAAAAATCCAAAGATAAAAGCCATCACTGGGGGAAAAACAAACAAGTACCTCCACAAATGCCTAAAAATAAATGCAACAATTCAAGAAACAAGAATAAGAAAGACAACATGATGCCTCCAAAGGACCACAACAACACTTCAATACTAGAATGTGAAGATGAAGAGATTGAAAAAACACCAGAAACAGAATTCACAAAATTGATCATACAATTACTTAGAAGTAATCAGAAGCAAATCCATGAATTAAATCCATACATGACATGAATGAACATTTTTCCCATGAATTTGAGATTTTAAAGAGAAGTCAAAATGAAATATTTGAAATGAAGAATTCAATAGAACAAATAAAAAATGCAGTGGAAAGACTTAACAACAGACTTGGTAAGGCAGAAGAAATATCCATTAGAAGACAAATCTCTGGAAATTTTACAGTTAGACAAAAAAAGAAGAAGAAATTAGAACACTAAAAAACAGTGTTGGAGATTTATGGGATAGTATCAGATGACCCAATATACGGATATTAGGAGTTCCTGAAGGCGTGGAAAGACAAAATGGATTAGAAGGTCTTCTTAGTGAAATAATTACAGAAAACTTCACTAATTTGGAGAAAGAAAGGGATGTCCAAGTACAGGAAGCACACAGAACTCCTAACCAACATGATCAGAAAAGATCTTTACCACAGCACATTGTAGTCAAACTCTCCAAGTAAAACAAACAAACAAAAAAAGATTCTAAAATGCAGATGAGAGAAATGCCAGATTACTTTCAGAGAATCCCCAATTAGACTTATAGCAGACTTCTCATCAGAAACCCTACAGGCTAGGAGAGAATGGTGAGATATATTCCAAGTCTTAAGAAAAAAAAAAAACTGTCAACCCAGGGTAATATACCCTGCAAAGCTCTCATTTATGTATGAAGGTGAAATAAAGACCTCCCACAACAAACAGAAATTGAAAGAATTTGTTACCACTCATCCAGCCTTACAAAAGATGCTTAAGGATGTGTTGCACACAAAACACAGAAACATGGTCATCACTATGAAAGAAAGTGAAGGCAGAAAATCCCCCAGTAAAAGTATAAAGGAAATCCAAAGTAAAAAATAGGAATATTTATGGGAAAGTGGCAGGACCAAGTTGTTACTTATCAATAGTCACTTTGAATGTAAATGGTCTCAACTCTCCAGTTAAAAGACACAGACTGGCTGAATGGATTCAAAAACAAAACCCATCTATTTGCTGCCTACAAGAAACACATCTCACCAACAAAGATACATGCAGAGTGAGAGTGAAAGGATAGAAAAAGAAATTCCATGCTAACAGAAACCAAAAAAGGGCAGGTGTAGCCATCCTAATATCAGACAAAATAGACTTTAACAAAAAACTGTTAAAAGAGACAAAGAAGGGCACTATGTAATGAGCAAGGGGTCAATTCAACCAGAAGATTTAACTATCAGAAACATATATGCACCTAATTACAGGGTACTTGGCTATTTAAAAGAAATGTTAAGGGACCTTAAGGGAGACATAGACTCAAATACAATAGAAATGGGGGACTTCAATATCCCACTTTCAGCAATAGACAGAACAACTAGGCAGAAATTCAGCAAGGAAGCAACAGTTAACTGATACTACATAGCAATTGGACCTAATGGATTTCTACAGAACTTTTCATCCTACAGTTGCAGAATACACATTCTTCTCACCGGTGCATAGAACTTTCTCTAGGATAGATCACATGCTAGCCCATAAAACAAGTCTCATCAAATTAAAAAAAATCAAAATCATATCATGCATTTTCTCTGACCACAATGGAATGAAGCTGGAAATCAACAACTCAAGAATCTCTAGAACATACCAAACACATGGAGACTGAACAACATGCTCCTGAATGAACAGTGGGACATAGAAAAAAATCAAAAGGAAAATAAAAAAACTGTTGAGGAACAGTTTTTTTTAATACTATTTGTTGAACACTTTACTTACTATAATCTGTATATAAAGTTAATTGAAAATAGATTTTAGTAAAAAATAAGAATGGGAATAGGAGAGGGAGGAGGAAGAAAGATGGGAGAACAGGTAGGAAGAATCACTATGTTCCTAAAGTTGTATTTATGAAATGCATGAAGTTTTTATACCTTAAATAAAAGGTTTCTGGGAGAAAGAAAACAAAAAAATAAATACAACAATTATAAAAAAAATAAATAAAAACGAAATCCACAAACTAAGCCATGAGCCAGCACAGAGAAGAAAAATAACAGAATAAGACATTACCTGTAATTACCCAGTAGTCTCTGGTAGTTTCTGATATATCAAGGTTGGGATATTCCAGTGCTAAAACAAACCAGAAACACACAAAATTACTTTTATAGGCTTTATGTGTAAATATTGTCAAAAGAATTTAACATAAAGTAAAAAATGGCAAGGAGTTAAATCCTGCTTTATTGTTCTTGGGAACTCTCTGACATACAGGATAAACTCTCAGGCTGTTCAGAAAATGAGAAGACTTGGGGCCGGCCTTGTGGCATAGCATGTAAAGCTGCTCCCGAGACGCTGGCATCCTATATTGGTGCCAGTTTGAGATCCAGCTGCTCCACTTTCAATCCAGCTCCCTGCTAATGTGCTTAGGCCCCCGAAACCCGTGTGGGAGACCCGGAAGAAGTGCCTGGCTCCTAGCTTCACCCTGGCACAGTCCCAACCATTGTGGCCATTTGGGGAGTAACCCAGCAGGTGGAAGATTCTCTCTGTCTCTCTCTGTAACTCCAACTTTCAAACAAATAAAATAAGTCTTTGAAAAAAAAAGACTGTCAATAGCTAACTTTCAAATGATGAATTTTCTAGGGTTTGTGGGTTTTGTCTCTCACAGCTAGAACGTGTCTTAGCTGTAGTTTTCTCTTTAAAAGTTATAACAACCATCACTAACATTTTTAGGGATAAGTATCTCTTGAGTGGATTTCTCCAATTTCAAGAACTTGAAGTTCAGTAGCTGAGTGTTTCTAACAAAGTATGGTGACTATTGGTGTTAATGCATGCACAGAACTCACTTCAGTTGGTGCTCAATAATCTTAGTTGCTGTTATTATCTGAATAACAAAGTAATGGAAGAAAATTCTGCACATGCTGCCATGTGACATCCCACCATCTTTCACAAAATCATCTTTTCCATAAACTCAAGAGTAATTTTTTCATACTATATGGAAGTTGGTCAAAGTTTGCCAAAAAATTCTTAGTGGCTACTATGTGCTAACTATATTTGCATACATTATCTCATTTGGTTACAGTATTAAAAATAACTGCAAGAGGATATTGAGATAATTTTTGCCAATATATTTTTTAAAGATTTATTTATTTATTTGAAAGTCAGAGTTACACAGAGAAAGAAGAGGCAGCGAGAGAGAGAGAGAGAGAGAGAGGTCCTCCATCTGATGATTCACTCCCCAACTGGCCACAATGGCTGGAGCTGCACTGATCTGAAGCCAGGAGCCAGGAGCTTCCTTCAAGTCTCCTATGTGGGTGCAGGGGCCCAAGGACCTGGGCCAACTTCCACTGCTTTCCCAGGCCACAGCAGAGAGCTGGATCAGAAGTGGAGCAGCTGGGTCTCGAACCACATGGGATGCTGGTGCTTCAGCCAGGGCATCAACCTACCACACCCCAGTGCCAGTCCCAACATTAAAAAAAAAAAAAAAACCTTTCCCAGTAACCTTGGGAAATGTAAAAATGATTGAGAGAACAAATCTTTACTTCCTTTGGCTATCAAGTAAGTGTTTGGATACAAAAAGTAGGCTGCATTGTCTTTAAAGTCTATGCCTCCTGCATGGTAATGAGAATTATGTAACCAAAGCATTAGAGGAAGACAAGGCCACAAGACTTCTTGAAGTAAAATCATGACATTGACTGCAAATGAGCTGCATTATGGTCTCTCCAGCCAGGGCAGGGGCAGAAGGTCTGGAAACATTTGCAAATGGCCCAAGTGGGAGAAAACCATAGAAACCCCGATTGCTCCAAGGACAGACACCCTTGTAGACAATTCTGGAAGCTCAGAACTGTGTGTGATCAAATCCCAGGTCCCACGTCTCACCACCTATGTGAGACTGGGGATCTGGAAAGACTCCTTGGAGCATCGGTTTTCTTGTCTTCACAATGGTGCCAATTCTGTACCTACCCCACAAGGTGGTTGTGAGGATTTGAGGAGATAAGAGGCATGTTAAGGCTGAAAGCACTTTGCCAGTGCTTTCTTTCAATTTGCAGTCAACTTGTCATCAATTAACTCCAATGCATTGCCTATTCCAGCTCTCATCTCATGCTAGAAGAGGCAGTATGTGGATGTCTGCTGGATAGAGAAAGCTCCAGGGGACACAGCTGGGTCCCCGGATGAGGTGGATATACTCACGCTCGGCGATGGTGAGTGGCGGGTAGGTGAGGTAGAATCCCACCAGCTCAGCTGAGAGCTGGCTAAGGAGGCTGCTGGCCACGGTGCCATTGAGGAAGGTGCTCTGATTGCCCACGACGTACAGCAAGGTGACTGCCTGCGAGGCGTTGGATGTGCTCACGACCTGAATTGACACAGGAGGAAAGGGGAGGGCGACGTGCCAAGTGAGAGGAAGGTCTGCTTCCCAGCGGCCATGGGAGGAGAAGTTTCAGAGAAGTTGAGGAGGGGAATGAAAGGCAGGATGGGAAAATAGCAAGGAAGAGACAAGAATAACAATGATCATTTACAGACTGTTCACTGCATGCCAGGAGCTGTGCTAAGGGCCTCGTCTGCTGTCCTCCTCACCACAACCCCAGGACATGGATGCAGTCACAACTCTCTTTTATGGATGATGAGACAGAGGCCCCGAATGAGCAAGGGACCTGCCTAAGGTCACACAGCTAGCCAGGGCAGTATGACTTCAGCTTCTTAACCATTCGTGTGTAGACTGCTTCCGGGAACTAAATTGTTTTAGGTGACTTTATGATTCTGAAAATATAAAATAGAGCATGGGGATGTCAGATGAAGGTGACCTCAACTGCTCAGACAGAAAAGGCTGGAGTTAAACTTCTAGGGAATTTTAAAGTTGAAAGCTCCAGCAACGTACAGAGCTGATCACCAATTTAGTTGCAGGGCGACTGAATCTGATTATAAAAGGAATTTGGAGATATAAAATATGGTCTTTACAGGACAATCACATTCCTGTGGCTTTTAATTCAATATAGAACACATAGAAAACCCTATGAGGTTGCATGGTTTTCTTCTCGCATTTTACCAGAGTCGGGTTTTTAGTGCTGGAAAATGAGGTTTTCTGGGTCAATGTACAGATAAAAATATCCCACAGATGAGATTTAAAAGAAACACAAGCAGTAGGGAGCTATTCGACTTGGTGAGGCATTTTTTTGGCGAGTTCTGTGCTGGGGTCTGACTTCTCTTTTTAGGTCCACTTGCTGTCCTGCCCCAGAAGCCGACCCTTGGGGCTACCTCAATGGGTGCCTTTGCCTTCTGGCTTCAGCTAATGGGGATCTGGGAAGATGTGGGAGTGAAGAAGAGCCGTAAGGTCCTGGTGCTCATGCTGAGACTCCTTCCCTGTAGGGCCAGCCAGGAATGCTCCCTCCCTTGACCCCAGCCGGGCCCCATGGCTTCAGCCGTGGGTGCTGCACTGTCTCTGCCCACATTTCTACAAAGAGTGCCTTTTGTCGAACAATCCTCAAATTACCTTCCTTTGCACGCCCCTCTCTCTGCTGCCAACGCAGACTGATACCCAGTCTTTTTCAGACCTTCACATTCTCAGACATAAAGATCCGTGCCACTTTCCTCTTAAACCTGACTTTGAAGGAGACTGTCAAGAATAGCTTCCTCACTTTCTCTCCCTCTCCTCCCCGTACGTGGAAGTTCCTTTTTAATTCTCTAACCCAGAGCCTGCATTCCCACGATTCATGATGAACAGAGTTCACATTTCCGCTCCATTCTTATTCTCTCTGGACATATTTCTGGAATGTGGCTCAGCCCAGGGTTCCAAAAGAAAAACACTTCCTTCTGAATGGTTCAATTCATACTGCCACCTAAAAAGTAATGACTAAAATATTAGTAACTTTAAATCTTTATCTGTACAATGAACATTCTAGTTTTTCACCTTCCAACAAAACTAAATCTCACTGGACCCCAAGTAAGCCTATGAAACCAATGATTTGCACAGCTCTGCTCACAATACACTCAACCAGGTAAATTGTTCTCGTTTTTACTATTGTGGCAAAATATATAAAAATATAATGTACCATTTTAACCATTTTTAACTGTTTATTTCGGCAGTATGAAATACATACACATGTTGTGCAAGCATCAACCACCATCCATCTCCGGAATGTCTTCATCATCCCAAAATGAAACTCTGCCCATTAACAACTCCTAACTTTTCCCTCCCCACAGCCATGGCAACCACCATTCTACTTTCCAGATACCTCTTACAAGTGGGAGCTTTTACAATGAGTAATTTGTCAACTCTAGATACCTCTTGTAAGGCTGGCTTATTTCAGCTAGCAAAGTCCTCAAGGTTCATCTGCGCTGTGGCATCAGGATGTCCATCCTTTTCAAAGGCGGAATACTTTTCCTTTGTGTGTATACGCCACCTTTGTTTATCCAGTCCTCCACTGAAGGGCACTGGGTTGCTTCCATCTTTTGGCTGTTGTGGGTAATTCTGTTTTGGACGTGGTGGACAAAAACCTGCTTGAGTCCAAATCTTCAATGGTTTTTGGTATACACCCAGAAATGGAATTGCTGGCTCATGTTGTGATTCCACATTTACATTTTTTTTGAAGAACCACCACATTGCTCTCTGCAGTGGCTGCAGCATTTGACATTTCCACTAGCAACACACAGGATTCCAATTTCTCCACATCCTCATTAACGCTATTTCCCTTTTTTTTTTTTTTAGGATACTAATAGATGTGAAGTTGTATCTCATGGTTTTGCTTTGCATTTCTTCAGTGTTTAATGATGTAGAGCATCTTTTTTGAGCTTACTTTATAACTGTTTTTGGAGCTATTTCTAAGTTTTCTGCCCATTTCTTAATGTATTTTTATTGTTGAGTTTAAGGAGTTCTTTATATGTTATGATGTTAACCATTTATCAATATATGATATGCAAATATCTTTTTTATTCTATGCATTGCCATTTTGCTCTGTGGATAGTGTCCTGCGCTTTTGGTATCACATCTAACAAATCATTTTCAAGTCCAATGTCATGAAGTTTTCCCCCTATGTTTTCCTCTAAGAATCCTATGGTTTTAGTTCTTGAATTCAGGTCAATCCATGCTGAGCTTATTTTGTTGGACAGTCAGGTAGGGACCATCTTCATTCTTCTGCATGCAAATGTCCCACTTCCCCTATGTGTTGAGATGGCTCCCCTTTCCACCCCCTAGTTAGTAGCAGTGGCATCCTTGTCAAAAATCACCAGGCTGAGGCAGACACTTGCCCTAGCATTTTGGCCTAGATGCCGGCTGAGGTGCCTATGTGCTATATCAGGTTGACTGGGCTTCATTCCTGGCTTCAGCTCCCAATTCCAGTTTCCTGACAATGTGGACCCTGGGAAGCAGCATGTAATAGCTCAAGTGGTTGAGCCTCTACCACTCACATGGGAGGCCTGAATTGGCTAAATCTGACTGTCAGCTTTGGCCCAGCCCTGATTGGTCATTGCAGGCGTTCAGGGAGTGAATCAGGGTTGGAGCTCTTCCTGCCTGTCTCTGCCTCTTGAATAAATTTTCAAAAAATAAAAAAAATAATTTGGACAAATGTGAAAGGTTTTATTCCTGGCTTCTCTATTCTATTCTATTCTGTCTTTATACCATGACCACAGTGTTTTGATTACCATAGCTTTGGAGAAAATTTTGGAACCATAAAGTGTAACCCTTCAATTTGTTCCTCCTTTTCAGGGTTGCTTTGGTTATTTATGTTCCCTCAAGATTCCATGAGTTTCAGGCCGGCGCCGCGGCTCACTAGGCTAATCCTCCGCCTAGTGGCGCTGGCACACCGGGTTCTAGTCCCGGTCGGGGCACCGGATTCTGTCCCGGTTGCCCCTCTTCCAGGCCAGCCCTCTGCTGTGGCCAGGGAGTGCAGTGGAGGATGGCCCAGGTGCTTGGGCCCTGCACCCCATGGGAGACCAGGAAAAGCACCTGGCTCCTGGCTCCTGCCATCGGATCAGCGCGGTGCGCCGGCCGCAGCGCGCCGACCGCGGCAGCCATTGGAGGGTGAACCAACGGCAAAGGAAGACCTTTCTCTCTGTCTCTCTCTCTCACTGTCCACTCTGCCTGTCAAAAAAAAAAAAAAAAGATTCCATGAGTTTCAGGATAAATTTTTCTATTTATGTTTTAAAAAATGATGAAAAAAAATTTTTAATGATCACTGAGATCTTGATAAGGATTACATTAAATTTGTAGATCTCTTTGGGTAGTGCTGACATCTTTACAATATTGTCTATTAATCCATCAACACAGGATATCCTCCATTTATTTGTGTCTTCTTTAATTTTTTTTTATAGCTAAGGAAAAAGTGTGACCATTCTTGGTGGCTACTTAATATTAGTCCAAAAGTAAAAGGTCTACCAGACTGAGACCAAGACCACAGCTCTGGTCCGCAAGTTAGGCCCTGTCACCCAGGAGAGGCAGCCCCAACACATGACACTTTGCCATCAGCCCTTTGCCCTTGGACTCTTGAAGCTTCTGAGATCATCTCTTAATTCTCATTCACAAATGACATGATACCTTTGGCTAATCAGAGCAACAAGCTGGGGGCCAGAGCTACGGCGTAGTAGGCTAAGCCTCTGCCTGTGGCACCAACATCCCATATGGGTGCCAATTCATGTCCCAGCTCTCCTCTTCCAATCCAGTTCCCTGCTAACGGCCTGGGAAAGCAATGGGAGATGACCCAAGTCCTTCTGCACCCATGAGGCAGACCTGGAAGAAGATCCTGGCTCCTGGCTTCTGATCAGCCCAGCTCCAGCTAGTGCAGTCATTTGGAGAGTGAACCAGCAGATAGAAGACCTCTCTCTCTCTGTCTCTCCCTCCTCTGTCTGTAACCCTCCCAAATAAATAAATAATTTAAAAAAATAATTACAAGCTAAAGAAGTGAAGGCTGTTTGCCTGTCTAGCATCCATTGTCCTCGGACAGCACAATTTTCTTGAGAAGCCACCTCTCCTCTCCTCCCCTCCCCTCCCTCTCCTCTCTGCTCATGTTCTTCTATGGGGTGACACCCAAGTTACAGTAGTGAGCATGTGAGCCAGCCCTACTTGCATGGGGCATTTCACATCCTTGGCCACAGTGACCAATCCAGAAGTGGGCAGAGTCAGTCCCATGAGAGCCAAGCCCAGGATTTTGACTGGAATAACATAAACAGAGGGCACTGTGTTTCCACAAAACTATGAACACTAAGGATGAGGCAAACCTGGAGGTGCAAGAGACCACCCTATGGAAGCTGAGGATGAAGCCAGCCCAAAGCAAAGCAAGCCAAGAAATGGAGAGAGCGCTTCATGAAGAAATCGTTTGAGCACCTGGATGCAATTACACCTGAAGGAAATAAGCTGTGAGCTTTTCAGCAGCAGGAGCCAATTTCTTCTTTTTGCTGAAGTCTTTTAAGCTTGAATCCTGTCACATGTCCAATTAAAACATCCTGAGTTAACTGTGATCTAGCCCCTAACACCAAAGCTATACAATTATTTTAAAGATTTAATTTATTTATTTGAAAGGCAGAATTAAAGAGAGAGAGAGGGAGAGACAGAGGTCTTCTATCTGTTGGTTCACTCCCCAAATGGTCACAATAGCTGGGGCCAGGCCAGGCCAAAGCCAGGAACCAGAAGCTTCATCTGTGTCTTCCATGTGGGTGCAGGGGCCCAAGCGCTTGGGCCATCCTCTGCTGCTTTCCCAGGTGCATTAGCAGGGAGCTGGATGGGAAATAGAGCAGCCTGGACTTGAAACGGTGCCAATACTGATTCAGGTGCTGCAGGCGGCAGCTTAACCTGCTATGCCACAGCACCGGCCCCTACAGTTTTTTTTAAAAGGTCACTTTTTCAATGACTCTCAGAAAAAAATGAATTAAATATTTATGTGGTCTTATTCCACAAAGGGAGGTGTCTTATAAATTCTATTTAATAAAATATAATGGAAGGTTATTAATTAGAAAACAAAGTCCTGGTAAAAGAGATGAAAAGTAACCCCAGAAGGACGGATGCGTGCTAGGGACTGAGAGGGTTACTACATTCAGGCAACAAACTTAGCTACGGGCTTCCTGTCAGCCAACACAAAAAGCGAAATGGGGTTAATTAAGTGATCTACCCAATTAGCCATTCATTTTAAAAGCTGCTGAAATGTTTTAGAGCATCTGAAATCTACTGAGATGCAATTTTCAAATCACCTGTTGGAGTCTTTTCCAAAGAAGGTTTGTTACTTGCTTTTCAAAGCTTCATCTAGTGGCCCATAACTACCATACAACAACACAAGAGAGGCTTCTTAAGGCCAAGGGCAGCTTATTTTTCTTGGTGTCTCTCCCAGTGCTTGACAAATAGCAGGTGCTCAGTATGTCTATGTTTCCAGAATACAATTAAAGTATGCTCTACTGCCAAGATCTAACTGGGTTCATGCACCTGTGAGGATCAGAAATCCAATCAAAAAGAAAAAGATTTCCCACCAGAGAGCTGAGTCACACTTCTTACATAAATCTTAAGTCTATGACACATTTTTAGATCTTAAGCTAATATGAAACAAATTATAATGAGATACTTCCATCTACACTTGGATGAATCTAGAAAAGGAAAGCTGCTGGTTCAAATTAAATTGTATGCTTTCTACAGCAGATTGGCTTTACTGATAATTCACTTATGCTAAATGTCAATTTCAAAACCACCGGGTCTAATTGCGATGGCTTTAGTTCAGTAGTCAAAACACAGACATTGAATAGTGGAGTTAATTAGAGAAATTTTAAGGCTGGAAGAATATCATTAAGAAGCATCTGTCCTTGCTATGATGATATCTTTACAATTACAAAACATGTGTCTACAACAGGCCTTTGGTGGTGAATACACTGCTCATCCAGGAGGCTGAAATACAGTACATCAGGACTGGGATTTTCCTGGGAAAGAATTCCTGGGTTTGCAAAAAGTTTCACTAAGGATTGAATTGCAATGCTATACTAATACTAGTGTAGCTTAGTGGATAAGGGTGTGGACTTTTGGCTCAAATCCTTGCTTCGTCCTTTACTGTGTGACCTTGGGAAGTTTCTTAACCTCTCATGTCCCTCTTCTGTGCTACTGGAGTAAGAATAGCTCAGAAGGACATTTTAAGTATTATGTACTTGTAAAACACTTAGCACAGTTTTTGGCACTTAGTACACCCTCAGTATAAAATGTATGCATGTATAAGCAAGGGTTATTGTTCATGCAGGTGTGTGCAATTGAACCATATGCAAAATACAGAACAGGCAAATCTTGGTGAGTTAGCTCTGTAAGACCAACTCATTTATTCATTTCCTATCAGAACTAACATATATAGGAGATCCTAGCCCAATTTTAAAAATAATATCTACATCAGAAAGGCCTGAGGAAGAATCACATGGGAAAAGACATATAACACTCCAAGCCATGGCAGGTGCACAGCCACACAGCTCTTCCCCTACTACAGCTGGACCCCAGACACCTTCACCAATACCATGACTGTCAACACTGCATGCCCCAAGTGCAAAGCTGCACTTACACCAAAATGGGGAGCCGGAGTCATTTCTTACCAATCAAATTTGCATTGTGATCATCTGTCAACTACACAGCCTGAAGCACCTCCCTACCTGCACAGTCAAGTTGCTTTTAGTATTCAGGACTTTCCTCTCGGCATCCTGGAAGGCCTTCTGCAGTCTCTGCTCCATAGTCTGAGCAAACTTGCAGGACTGTATGTTGTCTGATGGGCTCACGAACTGCAGCACTGCAACAAGAGTGAAGATCAGCACTCCCCAGAACTCCAAGTCTTCATCCCCTGGGTTTACTCGCAGCCATGATATAAAACAGCATGGGTTCAGATCAAGGGGAATTGGGCAAATACACAACAGGGCCAGACAAGGTTGACTGTAGCTTTGAAAGTGACTCTTAAAATGACTTAAATCAGGCAGAATTAAAGACATGATCGAACCTGAGATCTCCTCCAGCGCAAATGATTTTGTGATTTTATCAACTGGAATATGCACGCATCTCCCCCCTAAAAGACTGAAAATAACTTAAGAGAGCTTGTGCCTTCTATTTCTTTGGAGGAAAAACCATAATCGATGGAATCCTACTACTAAGTTGATTGTTTCAATTTTAATGGTTTCTCAATTCCTGTGGTTTACAAACTTTAATGATCAGAAATCACCAGAGTAGCTTAAAAAAAAAAAAACAAAGACTCCAAGACCTGAGCGCAGAGATTCTGATTCAGTGGCATCTGAAACCTACTGCTGCACACCGCAGAGTCTGTGGATACTCAAGCCCTACATTTATCCTCTTGTGATGCAGGGGGGAGGGAAAATACACTACTTGGTGCTCGAAGGTACTAATTCTACCGACCAAGAAGGAAGCCTTCAGTGAAGAAAGATTGCCAATAAGCCCAAGGCTGGAAAGTCTGGGCTGATGTGCAGGGAACATGGACATCTGATTGGCAGGGCCCTTGGAGGAAAGTCCACAGGGAATTTAAAAGAGGACAGGGCAGTTAGCAATCGGGCTCTAAACAGGTGTCCGCATGGTATTAATAGCCCTGATCCCAGGATGGTAAGAATCCTTTCCCTCTGAGTTACTTGCCTGTTTTCAGCTGGAAGTAGCCCGCGGGCTGGGGAACCCATGGGGAGGCAAGGACCGCCACGGACTGCAAGTTTTGGGTGTGTTGCTTCAGGTCTGCAGTGACATTGCTGACTCCGTAAACGCCCAGCATGTCCATCACTACCGCAGGCAAGTACACTAATCTCCCTTTGGTAGCATAATAGCCAACTGTGACATTATGAGAATGTTCCAGAATGTCCACCTACAAAACAAATGGACCCACAAAACACATTGTTTATTTTCAGAGTACTTTAAGTTCTTGGTGTTTCTTAGATCCACAACTGTTAGGTAGCTAGGCTGGGAATACAAAATGCTAACAATCCTATAAAGTATGCATGAATTGGAAAGTCTCAGACTATCATCATACAATAAGGTACAATTCGCAGCAAACTTACATGGGATAGAATTAGGTCTGTGCTATTTTAATCTTTAAGCAACTCAGTATAATCCTGTGAGCACCACTCTGCCAAAAAGACAGTGAGGAGACAGCAGGCAAAAGAGACTTCTCGCAACTGGAAAGCTGGGAAAACAGCTTTATTCTATTTCTCATCATTTATGAGAATTAAAAGACAGAAATGATAGATTAAGTGGGGCATCTATGGGGCATAGGTCAAAGAGGAACTGAAGAACGTTCCTGTCTTTAGAGCTACAGAGAAGCATCATGTAGATTGATTCCATCCTTGACTTGTGAGTTGGTTCAAAACCAAAGCCAGTGTCTCTCACATCCCAGTCATCAGGAACACTGAGGATCTGAGCTCTTTCTGCTCCAATTGGAAGATTTAACTCTTATTTTATTTTGCTTTCTTGGTGTTATATATTAACAACTTGGGATGGCTTTTTGTATATTAAATGTAACATTTATTGTAGAATTAGTATATCTGAAAAACAGAGAAAAATTAGGGGCCGGCACTATAATGCAGTGTGTTAAAGCCCTAGTCTGCAATACGAATATCCCATAGGGGTGCCAGTTCAAGTCCCAGCTGCTCCACTTCCGATCCAGCTCTCTGCTATGGCCTGGGAAGCAGTAGATGATGGCCCAAGTGCTTGGGCCCCTGCACCCATATGGGAGACCCAGAAGAAGCTCCTGGCTCCTGGCTTTGGATCAGCCCAGCTCTGGCTATTCTGGCCATTTGGGGAGTGATCCAGAAGATGGAGGACTTTCTCTCTCTCTCTCTCTCTCTGCCTCTGCCTCTCTGTAACTCTGCATTTCAAATAAATATAAATCTTAAAAAAAAAAAAAACAGAAAAAATAACAATCACCTCTAACACCACACCATTATAATACACTCATATAATCCTTTTTAAGTCTATTTCCTTTCAGTTTTATGTCCTGGGAATATATATTTTATATATATACACACATATATGTATATATGTATACATACACATGGATGTAGGCATGCATGGTAGAGATGATGTCTTCATAAATCTCCTTTTTTTCCAATTTCTAATGGTCTGAAGTACACATCACATCCACCATCCTTACCATTTTGACCTGTACTGTTCAGCGGTGTTAGATACACCTGTGCTGGTGTGTAACAGCGCACCATCCTCCTCCAGAACTTTCACCTTGAAAATCTGGAAGTCTATCCTTGGGTGTTTGGAGTATCTGCTTCTTCCCCCACCCCCACCTCATTCTTGCATCTCCATTACCACTGTCAGGTGTATTCTCCAATGAAGCCAAGACCCCTGATTTTGCAGCAGGGTGGCTCTGCCTCTGGCTCCGCAGTGTGTGTGCCATCAGCTGCTCTTCTAACACTTACATTGGAGCAAGAGGCACTTCAGGTTGGAGCACAGGTGCCACAGGGGATAGCAGAAAGCACCCGGGGAGAAAGCTGCTCCCTTTCCAGCCCTCATCACCTCCAGGAGCAAGTCTCAGGGCAGGGATTACTGGCTGCTAACACCTCCCTAACGCTTGCTAATTCTGTTTTAAAAAACAAACAGAGGGGGCCGACGCCGTGGCTCACTTGGTTAATTCTCTGCCTTGCAACGTCGGCATCCCATATTGGCACCAGGTTCTAGTCCCGGTTGCTCCTCTTCCAGTACAGCTCTCTGCTGTGGCCCAGAAACGCAGTGGAGGATGGCCCAAGTGTTTGGGTTCCTGCACCCGCAAGGGAGACCAGGAAGAAGCACCTGGCTCCTGGCTTCGGATCAGCGCAGCTCCGGCCGTAGCAGCCATTTGGGGAGTGAACCAAAGGAAGGAAGACCTTTCTCTCTCTCTCTTTCTCTCTCACTGTCTACAACTCTACCTGTCAAATAAATAAATTAAACAAACAAACAGAGGCTCACCAGACTCAGCCTCAGACCCTCCTGCATATAACAATGTGTAGCTTGACTTTAACAAGCTGTTTGCTTTCCATTATTCTCATTTTTACCATTATCTTTATAACTGACACACAAACACTGTACATATTTATGAGGTATCACAGGATATTATGATGCATGAATATGTTATGCAATGTTCAAGTGAGGGCAAACATATCTAGCTCCTCAAACATCATTTCTTTGTGGTGTGAACATTCAAAATTCTAGCTTTTTTCTTAAGAAAAAACATATAGTACTTTACATTATCTTTAGCCACCTCCTGTGCACTGGGACTTCTTACTCCTATCTGACTACAGCTTAGCAACTTTTCTTTGTGGCAAATGATCTTGATTTCCACATGCACATCCTTTCAAAAGAAATGTGTTTTAAAAAGTGAGCCAATTTTCAAAAATACTAATTGCTACAGTAGTCTGTGATGATATTCAGAAAATACCAAAATGGTGAAGGTAGTTTGAGAATGACTGACGTTTAGTGAAAACTCTAATAGACAACTAAATGAGAATATTCATACTTTCAACTATCAAATAAAGTTTCAGGTGCAAAAACCATGGGTACCTCTCATGAATGCATTTCCTTTTTATTTCTATTTTTTTTCTGGAACTGTACAAAAGAGATTGACAATGACCAGTAACCTCTGTGCCAAATCTCAGTGTAGTGGTGAGGGCGGATCTCTAGGCCAGGTGCAGCTGGAACACAGACCCTCGAAGGAAGAAGCCAGAGCAATATTTGTCAGTGGTGCAAAAGGGAGGCCACTGAGTGCCAACTGCTTTTACTGCTTTAAAACTTGGAATTAAACCAAGACACTGTAAACCAAGGCTCACAAAGCTCAGATATGCCACCAACAGCAGCCAGCAGTTGTTAACAGCACTTGGCATTAAAGTGTTTGGAGAAAAATGAAATGTTTACTTCCTTGCTTGCTGCTGGCAATTTCAGCAAAGTTGGACTTGATTTACAAACTGGAATAATTTTCAAATGTCCAGAAATAAATCACTATTAATAATGATGAGGAAGACAAAGAGAAAAGCATTGGAAACTTTCTAGGGAATTACACAAGCAGTATTAAATATGCGCCCCAAAAGATGGGTGAATGAGACAGTTTAAAGCAGAACAGAGGCACTTCAAAAAAGTTTAAAAAAAAAGTCTGTGGAAAAATGGAATTAAGTTCATTTTGGGGCAAAACAAATTTTGAACTCCAAGTGTAGCTTTTTCATAGCATGCATTTTCAGTGAATTTTTTGAAGACCTCTTGTATGCATGGATTTCACAACTTTTTGTCCCAAGCTTATCTTTTAATTCTATTTTTATCAAATTTTTTGAAAGACCTTAATATACCTAGACTTTAAACAAAATCTAGGGGGCCAGAGCTGTGGCTTAGCAGATAAAGCCTCCACCTGTAGTGCCGGCATCCCCTGTGGGTGCTGGTTCAAGTCCCAGATGCTCCACTTCCAATCCAGCTCTCTGCTATGTCTTAGGAAAGCAGTAGAAAATGGCCCAAGTGCTTGGGCCCCTGCACCCACATGGGAGACCTGGTAGAAGCTCCTGGCTCATGGCTTCAGATCAGCTCACTCCATCTCTCTCTGCCTCTGCCTCTCTGTAGCTCTTTCAAATAAATAAATAAATCTCTTTTTTAAAAATATCTAGGGGCTGGCGCTGTGGCATATCAGGTAAAGCCACTGCCTGTGACACTGGCATCCTATATGGGTTCCAGTTCAAGTCCCAGCTGCCCCTCTTCTAATCCAGCTCTCTGCTATGGCCTGGGAAAGCAGTACAAGATGGCCCAAGTGCTTGGGCCCCTGCATCCATGTGGGAGACCAGGAAGAAGCTCCTGGCTCCTGGCTTCAGATTGGCACAGCTCCAGCCTTTGCAGCCATTTGGGAAGTGAACCAGAGGATGGAACACCATTCTCTCTGTCTCTCCCTCTGTCTGTCTGTAACTCTGCTTCTCCACTAAATAAATAAATAAATAAACCTTATGAAGAAAATCTAGACACCGGCCATTACTCTCAATCCCCACCTTTACACTTGACCCCTTTTGTTCTGACCACCACACATCAGCTGTAAAATGAAGAAAGAGCCTACTTCTGGCATATGTGGTCATGGTCTGGACCACCCAAGGGAGGGAATTGGCCGGCTTCAGCCGGGTGCAGAGCTAGGGGCTTACATGGGCGACCACGTCACTCTGGCGGAAAGCCTTCCGCAAGGCCTGCGTGAGCCCCTTGGCCACGGTGAGCTTCAAGGACTCGCTGGTCTGTGCTCTCCTCGGCATCACAAAGAGAACTGTGGGGGCAAAACAGAAACACAGGATTCAGGGTAAGGTCTCTCCTCCTCCCAGCCCCCGGCTCCTGCAAGTTCTGGGCAAGGCTGGTGAGCACAGGTCCCATCCACATGGGCTGGAGAAGTGGCTCTGTGGGTCCCAGTGAGGTCCTAAGGAAAGAAGGCCCCCACCATGTGTGCGTGGTCCTAACGGAGAGACAGCTGGTGGGTTGCAGGCCCATGTTGCCTCTTAGAAGGAGAGCTCAGCAGTGCCTGCCCCGGATGGGTCTGCGTGCAATGAAGTTCCTGCAACAGCAATCACTGGCAGCCTGCTTGGGTGCAGGTCCTGAGCGAGGTGCTACAGCCTAAACAACCTGGCACTGGGAAGGGACAGTCCCCACCTTGCAAAGCGACCAGAGGTGGCGATGGAGACACAGACAGGGAAGAGGCGAGTAAATGTGACAGGTGCTCTCTGAGCTGAAGCCTAGCATGCACCAGCTCTGAGCAGGGCAGAGGGCTGGGGATCAGGGAAAGTGTCCACAGAGTCCTGAGAGCCGACAGGTGTGAGCAAAGCCTCAGGGAAAAGACTATTCCCAACAGCTCCCAGCAGAGGGAATGCTAAGTGCAAGGGTGCAGGGAAGGGAAGGGAAGGGAAATATTTCGGCATACACGCTTAGCCTTGGTCCTGAGGTGCTGGAAAGGGAAGCGTTTTAAGCAAAGAAATGCCATCTGGGTTCCTTTGACTGCAGCCTGGAGCACAGATTGGAAAAGGAGGAGTCTAAAGGCAGTGAGAGAGAGAACGTGGCTGTTGGAGCAGAAATGTGGGTGAGCGCCGACGAGTGCGAACTAATGGAGAGAACGGGCACTCGGAGGGGAGAACCAAAAGGAAGGAATCAGGGATTGATTAGATGTGGCTGGCATGGGGCTGGTGAACAAGGCGGGTGGGAGATTTTTCTGCCTCTTGGGGGTTGGGCCTGCCTGTCACTCAGAGGCATGGATCTGGAGGGAGGGGGAGGGGGAGTGGAAAAGCAGATGGTGTCATTTCTTGGGAAGCAGAGATACTGTACTTGCTGCTGTGCCTAGTTTCACGATTTCCCATTTTAGAATAGGATATGTCTCCAGCTATAATTTCATTTAATTCTTTGTGGGGTGAGGAGGAAGGCTGGATTTGAGCATTCAACATTGGCATGCTCTTTCCAATAATTCATCTGCTTTTTATAGCAAACATTCCCACACTTTTAAAAGCACCCTGGGCATTCTAGGTCTGCCTTGCTGCAGTGGTGTGGGGTGGAGTCCAAACAAACAGCGCCCCACCTCTGCTCAGGGCACCAGAGCCGCCTGTCCAATGTTTTCAAGAAAGTCCCCTCTTTAACATTATAAGCAACCCTGGGCTCTCACACAGTGTACGAAGCTGAGCTTTCAGTGTCTACTGACTGAGAAAACACGCGACAAAAAGCCTTTCTGAACACCTAACACTTCTCAAGATTGTGTTTCACAAACCACATCATTTATTCACGAGACATCACTGATTCACTCCCCAGGCAGCACAGTGCACAGTTCTGTTCTCAGACCCTTGGGCAGGACTGTGGTTTCCCAGAGACCTCTGACATCAAGACTGATCCTAGCAGTAGAATCCCAGAATCTGTGTCACTTGTCACCACAGCCCTACTGACATTTGGAGCTGGATGATTCTTTGTTGTCAGGGGCCGTCACACACAGAGTAGGATATTACCAGTATCCCAGTCTCCACTCTACTAGATTCCAGTGGCACCTCCCCGCCCCCAACCCCATTGCAAGTGACTCTAGGTATGGCCAAATGTCTCCCTCCACCCTGCCCTCAGCCAGTGAGCAAGGGCCAAAAATCACTCCTGTGTGAGAATCACTTACCTAAAAGGAAAATCATTCTGATCCATCTCTGAGGCCAGAATTGCTTTCAGGTCAGATCACAAAGATAGTAGGGGGTAGGTGTTTAGCCTAGTGGTTACGCTAGGGTAGCAGATAAGCTACCCATATCAGAGTGCCTGGGTTTGAATCCTGGCTCCAGCTCCTGACTTCAGTTCCTGCTAATGCAGTTCCTGGAGGTAACAGTGAAGGCTCCAATAGTTGGGTCTCTGCCACCTCTGTGGGAGAGCCAGATGGAGTTCCTAGCTCCTGGCTTTGGCCCAGTTCTATAGCCAATGTGGGCATTTGGGGATCTCGCTCTCTCAACAAAGTTTAAAGAGGGACAGTCGCTTCTTACCTGTCTTCACCAGGAGCTTCCTGGACATTTGGCACTCCAGATTGGATGCCATCTTGCCGATGGTGACCACCGCAGTCGACACCGCAGGAAGAGCAGCATCAGTGTTTTCTGATGGCGAAGGTGGCCACCGAGTAGCCTTTACTGGTGCTGTACCAGATGCCAGTGCTGCCGTGACCGTCAGGGGCCGTGGGGTGGACACTCTGGGCACCTCTGGGTTGGCAGGGTTTGGGAGGCCGGTATGCATGGCTTGTGATTTCCTGGGAAGGTGTGTTGTGGACAGCAGGCCAGAGGCAGTGCCAGGGTTCCCTTGCATGGCTGGCTGTGTGCTCACAGTGTGTGCTGTTCTTGACATCATGTAGGTTGGTGTGAACGGGAAGGCTGTATGGACTGCCCCTGGCACCACCTTTGGGCCAGATGCTGCCTTGTTTGTGATATTTTTAGCTGGCACAGTGGTCAAACTACTCTTGGCTAATCCACTGCTGCTGGTGCCCCTAGCAACCAGGGCTGCAGACATGGCCTGTGTACTTGATTTTCTCAGAAACAATGTGGTTGCTGCTGTTGTTGTTTCTACGTTGGATGATACTGAGAAGTCCACTGTAAAGAGAAAAAAAAAAAAAAAGGCTTGTCATTGGCCTGGAATGCACATGTCACTTGTTCTAATGATGAATGGATGTAAGCTAGGGCCAGGATGGAAAGTCTCTGTGCTCTGGGCTTGTAGTGGGGGAACTTAGGCAAGACAAGTTTAGACTCATTAAGCTGACTAAGCATAATGAGCATGCCACTTAGAGTAAAGCCATGGCTGACAATAAGGACATATAAGTTCTGATTACTTTCAAAAAATCAAGTGGGCAAAAGATCACGGCCATGCCTATATGGGGGCTGCTAACTCATTCCTGTAAGGGGAGTGTGTGCTCCTTCAGAGCTAGGCTGGGCATCTGTGTTGAGCTTGAAGATGCTTTGGCCACAAAAGCTGTCACAACCGTTTTGCGGGTACCAGGAAACAGACTACCTGCATTAGTGGATCACCTGTCCATTTCTTGGGGTGCTGAGAAGCCCGTGGCACTTTGAAGGGGGTCCTGGAAAAGGCACTGGTCGACAGAGGAGGAGAGTCAGCTGCTGAGTGATATCTCAGGACACTCTGGAATGATGATGTGGAAGCATTTATCACAGGTGACGGAGAGATGGGAATCTGGGAACCTGTATCTGTCCCATCTGAAAATATTTCCTGCAAGGTGGCTGTTGAAGTCAGACTTGGAGAGGGCTGAAAAAAGGAATGTGTTGGCTGGGCAGGCAGCTGTAGACGGGAATGAGACCCGGATTGTTGCCATGAGACTGGGTAATACTCAACCTCAGCTACTTGGAAGTTTCTAGAATGGCTGTTACTGTTTATGGGCCAGATATCTGTATTGCTTCCAACCATGGTCACATCTGACTTGAGCTGGTTGAGACTAGAACCAAAGACTAGGTCCAGAATGGTAGGGCCTTCTGTGGTCACCCAACGCCCAGCAATATCTTTGAAATGCTGAAATCTTCTTGCAGTGATAGCTATGGTGGAACCGCTGGGAGAATTAGTTGAAACAGGATGACTTTCCCAACTTGGAGAGTTAATTGTGTGTCCACTTAAATCATAATTTGTTTGCTGGTGCAAGCCAGGCAACTCTGGTTCTTTGGAAGGGGATCCGGTTCCTGCTGAAAGAGAACTCCATAAGACATCTGTGACTGCTGGCTTTTCCGGGTCTCCCATTGTTGAAAAACCATAGGTGTCGGTGGAGGAGGAAAATGCTGTCACCTGCTTGGGAGCTGAAGCTGGCAACTCAGAATGGGCCACAGCAGGTGCATAAGTCTCCGGCCGGGCATGGGGAAAGCCAGGCAACGAGGCCTCTGGCTGGGAGGTGTGCGTGGAGTGTGTGGAAGCTGGAGGTGATGCTGAAGGAAAGAGGCTTGCTCTTGGTGTGGTCAGGACGGGAGACGAAATCCGATCAGGGTTGAAGTCGGAGGTGAATCCAGTTATGGCGAGGAGACTCGGAACCTCTGTACTTGGAAGGGCCTGGAAAGGAAGCGTCACACTTGTCTGTTCGCTCTCCCTGAACAGGCCTGCCGTGCTGTGCTGCTTCTGCAGGGGAACAGCCCAAGTCCCGGAGAGCCGATTAGGAAGCCGGCTGGAGCGGAGGATGTCTGTGGCCACGGCAGGAGGGGACCCGTCCTTGTCCTCTTGAGGGGTGGGCATCTCAGGCACAGGAGGTGGAGGGGCACGATGCTCGGTCCCACTCGATGCCGAAACTGCCCCAGAAAGGGCAGCTCGCCCTTGCCCCGGTGGGGTGAAAGGCACAGAAGACACTGGAGAGGAAGACGTGAGAGATCTCTCTGGAGTTGCCGACAGCCTTGGCAGGTTAGCAGAGCCCTCCTCTGCACTTGCAGGGGCCAGCTCTCTGCTGCCAGTCATGTCGACGGCCACTGCTTCTGCAGTCTGGAAAAATGAAGGCTCAGCCTCACGGGTTGCTGCTGCTGTGTTCTTGAGTGTTGGCAAAGGCACCCCGTGGTGCCCTCTCTCGGCCACCTCGGCCACCTTGGCACTGATGGGCTGGGTGGACGCAGGACTTGGAGCCACTTCCCACACAGACCTGGAGGGAGTTCCACGTGAAAGCCGAGGAGGACTTTCAGGTGCCAGGGGTGTGGGAGAGCCTGCAGAGGGGGGCCCCTCTGCTGGGGACAGCTCCGAATACTCTTTTGTTGAAAATCCAGAAGAGCCTACATGAGGGATGCCTTTGAAATCCTGGGTCTTTGGGGATGGATTCTGGTTCACCTCATCAGAAAACAGGTTTAGGGGATTAGCTACGCTCTGACTTACAGGGGAGTCGGCAGGAGCTGTTCGGGGGAACGGCGGCATTTGGGTGGACTGCTCTACAGGTTGCTTAGAAAAGGAGATGGGAGGAGGTGGGTCAGGGTCCAATGGGGATGATGAAGGGGGAGGGGGAGGGGGAGGTGAGTGAACGTCTGCCCTCAGGGGATGAGCAGAAAGGGAGGGAGTCCCCGCCCATGCTGGCCGGGTCGGGAGGCTGGTGCTCGAGGCCACCAGCAGGACCCTGGACAATGTGGGGGGCATGCTGGTGCGAGGCAAACCTGACACGTCGGCTGCTTCTCTTCCCCCTCGAGGCCTCGGTTGCACCAGAGACTCAGTGGAATCCTTTGAAGGTTCAAGGGAGGCGCTATGTCCACTTCCTTGGTAAAGGGAAGAGGAGAAGTCCACGTGAGCCCTGGTTCTGCGGGGCGGCCTGGGCGCAGGTGTCCAGGCCGGCTGCAGCAGGCTCGTGTTGTGAGGGGACGGGCCCTGCACATTCTTCATTCTGTCCACTGCTGGAGAAGACTCGGCTTCTGAGAAAGGCCATGTGGGTGAAATCGGTAACCATTTTCCGTGTGGAAATGACTCTGGGGTGGGGGTGACCTTTATCCGTAGATTATCTGCTCCTGCAAAATGAAACATCCGGCAGTCAAGCCTGGGCTGATGGGGAAGAGACTGCTGGGGTCAGGGGCAAAGCAAACTTAAATGATGAATTAAATAACGACAAGCCATCAAATGCTGCAGCAAACCTGCCATAGTTGCTGATGAAGGGATGTTGAAGTGAAGATGTGGAAGGCAGGTATTTTGTTTAAAAATTGGGGGCAGGAATTGTGGCACTCCATATTGAAGAGCCAGTTCAAAACCCAGCTACTCTGCTTCTGATCCAGCTTCCTACTAATGCACCTGGTAAGACAGTGGATGATGGTCCAGGTACGTGGGCCCCTGCTACCCATGTGGGAGACCAGGATGGAGTTCCTGGTTCCTGGCTTCTGCTTGGCCCATATGTGTTGGCTGTAGCCATTTGGGGAGTGAACCATAAGATGGAAGATCTCTCTCTCTCTCTCTCTCTCTCTCTGTCCCTCCCTCCCTCTCCCTCCCTCTACCCTCATCCTTCTCCCTCCCTGTCACTCTGCCTTTCAAATAAATAAACCAATCTTTAAAACAACTAAAATAAAATAAATTTGGTATCACTTACGAGGCTTGGATTGTGGAACTCAGAACCTAGAAAATCAAACATGAATGCGACTGCCTGCCATGGCCAATGGCACCAATAATAAACCTCCTCCAAGAACCCCAAATGCAAACACTAAAAAAGGACTGTGCATCTGAGCATCCATGTTTTTTAGGCCTCTGGAGCAAAATATCTGCAGTTGCCTCTGTTTGGAAGGAAGGCCCCAGTGAACCATACACGTCGTCTTGTATTTCCAAGGATTTCTGATGCCATCATTCCACCATGGCAAACAGCAAAGGAGAATTCTTTCAGATTAGCCTATTTCAAAAAGAAAAACAATTCACATCCCACTGAGGAGTGTGGCGCAGGCACACAGGCCTGGTGTCACTACGAACACCTGCAGGGTCCAGGACCATGGGCACCAGCACCTGCACCGGCACCTGCACCTGTGCTGGAAGCAAGGAGATGGCAGGCAGGGCCTTAAATGTGACCTCCACAGGACAGGTGGCAGAAAACAATGGATCCCAAAGTGGAAACTCTACCTTCTGGGAAAGGGAAACTACATCCTATGGGGTGATTCCCCTTTCCATGGTTCCTTAGTGCTGATGATGCTGATGACCCAGCCATGGCTAAGTGTCCTTACACACTACTGTAACCTGGGCCTGTGTCTTTGGACCGCTGTGGCACGCAGTAGGGCAACAGCTTCAGGTGGCCGAGGGTGTGCAAATCCAGATCTTCTGACTTCACCTTTTGGTTTGTTTCTCTCTCAGATGGTTCAAATGTTTTTAGCTAATAATGTAGAAGGCGGAAGGGTTCTTTAAACAGAAAAAGTACTAAACAGATATTTAAGAAAGAAAAAAAAAACAAGCACTAAACAAATGAGCTGTCATGGCAGGCTCTAGGCTCTATGTTTGTTTGTTTGTTTAACAGAAGAGAATGTTGTGGCCCAGAGAGGGGACACCACTTGCCAAGAAGCCACCTGACAACCAGGAACAGAGGGGACTCTGATGCGGCCTCCTCACTCCCAGTGCCTCCTCTCCATACTGCTTTTCTAAAAGCAGTTCCTACTCTTCATGCCACCCATCTTATCCTACCAGCAGCAACACCAAAACCCAAACAACCAAACCTGAAATCCTAAAATATTGGAGCTTTCAGAACATGCAACATTCCCTGCAGTCACAAAAGCTAAACAGTGAGTGACGGTTTTTGGAAATAATCTTTTCAGTTTCATTTGCTAAGACTTAGAGAAGTAAGAGTGGAGTGTGTCTTCTACTCTGAATTAGGAAGCACAATACATCTCCTTTCTGAGTCTTTCTTTACTTGTCTTTAAAGGCCCATGGCTTGGGATTTACAGATACCCAAGACATCTTTAGAACAGGCCAGGGTGTAAGCCAATACTACATCTGCCAATGGGCTTGCTGGCTCCTCTTTGTAAGGAGGACCGATCCCTTCTCCTGGGCAGATTGTCTCCACAAGCCTGGTGCAGGACTGTCTCCTTGTCCCCAGACCACAATCATTACCACACCTACTTTGCAGGGACCAACGCACCCTCTGGCCTCTGCTAGCCAAAACTCACTTCAACATTAATTAGCGGCAAGATGCACAGACAGCTACCCAAGCTTCACTGCTTGACAACTGCTTTCTGATTTGCAGCAGTGACTGTGTTTCCGTATTAGCACACGCAGCCTAAGGAGTTGCCATCTTACATGGAAGGTGGGTCTGCTCTCACCCTCAGTCTTTCCTGATGCTGTTGCTTTGCCCCTAGATGGCCTCAACCGTATAATCCACATCCAGTTAGGCCTGGTTACTTACACGGGTGAGTATAACACGCACGTAAAGTAGCTTTACATCTTTGTGTTTTCCATTTATACTTAGAACTCAGACTTATTACTTAGGTATCCAAAATTTATGTAGGATTTCTTCCTTTTGTACTTTCATTGAAATAGATTCCACTATCCATGGGTTCAATTCATGGACTGAAGAGTCTAAACAAATTCACTTTGCTTCAGGTAACTAGCCTACAACGCAAAAGGAGGCCACCAGCCAAAGAGCTTTTGCTTTCAGCAAGACGTTTCACACACTTTCACAAAAGTCTCGCAGAGCATAAAAGAACAGGTGTTGGATGGTCGTACAAGGGATTATAACTAACTTAATTGGCCAAAGGAGGAGGATGAAAAGCTCCACATTGAAGTGAAGAGAGGTGATCTACTGTCGGTTTCTACTGGGCCTTATTGTTTGCTAGACTAGAACCCAGTGTTCCCCAAGGTAGCCCTTATGAAACACAGTATTGCAAATGCCTCTGGCAGTAGAGTTCCTATGAACAATTTTGAGTAGTGAACTCATGCTGGATAGTCACTAATGCTGATACCAATTATTTCTAGCTCTTCAACTTCTTTTTTGTTTTTTAAATATTCATCCTTTTTTATTTTTTTAAATTTTTTTGACAGGCAGAGTGGACAGTGAGAGAGAGAGACAGAAAGAAAGGTCTTCCTTTGCCGTTGGTTCACCCTCCAATGGCCGCCACAGCTGGCGCGCTGTGGCCAGCGCATTGCGCTGATCCAATGGCAGGAGCCAGGTACTTATCCTGGTCTCCCATGGGGTGCAGGGCCCAAGCACCTGGGCCATCCTCCACTGCACTCCCTGGCCACAGCAGAGAGCTGGCCTGGAAGAGGGGCAACCGGGACAGAATCCGGTGCCCTGACCAGGACTAGAACCCGGTGTGCCGGCGCCGCAAGGCGGAGGATTAGCCTAGTGAGCCGCGGCGCCGGCCCGCTCTTCAGCTTCTGAGTACATAGGAAGACTGAGCTTCTTAAATATTTCTGGGGTTGGCAGAAGTCACGTAACTAGCTCTAGTCAGTGAAGTGTGAGCAGAAGTGGTAAGCATCACTCCTGGGCTGGAGTACTAAAATGCTGGGGCAAAACTCAACAGAACTCTCTTTCTCTGTAGCCAAACAACAACCAAAACACAAAACAACCAAAACCTAGCAACATTATATCTCATAAGTGGTTGCTAAAAAAAAAAAAAAAAAAAGAAGGAAGGGGAGGAAGAAACTAGTAAGGTTCAAAATGTTTGTTGGTCTGCCAGCCTGGCCCCTTTGGAATGTAATAAGGAAGGATAAGGAAGGCCCTCTGTTAACAAAGAATGCGTAGGTAGCCTGGACAAGAAACAAGCTTCCTGTTTTAGGCACTGAATTTGGGGGTTGTTTGTGATGGCAGCATAACCCAGTTTACACCAGCCTATTCAGATAATGAGAAGGTTCCCATTGGGTGGAACACTCCCATCAGCATCAGCATTTTAGGAGAGGCTTGGAAGAGTCCCGCATCCAGAAAAAGGGGTGTCTAGCATGTGGTAAAAGCTCAAGAAACATATGCTGGGTGGTTTCATTAAACTTTTTTAATCCAATATTTCTCAGATATATCTGACCAATGAGATATGTTTTCGAGTCTTCTCAAACACATTTGATCTCAGAATATAGTGACTTGAACCAAAAATTGATGACGTACATAAACCAAACGAAGAAAGCATGTTCACTGAATTAGCAAATGACACCAAACACAGAAGAATAAAGTGTCCATCTGTGGATGAATGGATAAAGAAAACGTGGTCCATCAGCACAAGGGAATACTACTTGGCCATAAAACATGAGATCCTGTCATTTGTGACACAGTGGATGAACATGGAAGACTCCATGTTAAGGGAACTAAGCCAAGTGCAGAAAGACAAAAACCACACGTTCTTACTCACATATAGGATCTTAAAAAGTCAATCACATAGAAGTGAGAGAATAATGGCTACCAGAGGCTAAAAGGGAAGCAGGGAAGGAGAGTCGGGGAGACATGCTCAGAGGGTAAAAGTTACAGTTGGGTAGGAGGACTAACTTCTGCTCCATTGCACAGTGGAGTGACCATAGCCAATAAGAATGCACTGTTTATATCAAAATAGGTAGAAAAGAAGACTCTGAGTGGAGATAACAATTTTGCTTGAGATGATGGAAAGCAAATTACTCTAATGTGATCATCTCACAGAGTATACATGCATTGAAACCTCATACTGTACACCATACATCTGCCTGATTTATATGTGGCAATTTATAATAAAGCTTTTAAAAAGAACTGATATGAAGAATTTCAGAGAAACACATTTCAAGGCCATGTCAGCTGAAATTACGGCTAACAGAAGACACAAATTAAGATGCAAGTTAAAGACCGTGCTTGGCCCAGAATTACCAAGGGGGGGGGGGGAGGAGGAGGAGGAAGAAGAGGAGGGGACTTCCCTTTCAGAATAGCTGATGCTGGGACAGACATTTAGACTAGCAGTTAAGGTGTGCTGGGTGTTTAATCTTGCAGTTAAGACACCAGTTAAGATACCTGCATCCCATTTTGGAGTGCCTGAGTTTGATTCCAGGCTCTGGCTCCTGACTCCAGCTTCCTGTTAATACAGACCCTTAGAGATAG